AGATCCCAGGACTGCTAGTATACATTTAAAACAGAATTTAGCAATTCAATTCTAAAGGGTTTTGACAACGGTAGTTTACACTTAAAATTAATCATTGTCAGGACTTTTTCCATCATCTGTTCTTTAAAACCACGATGTTTCAGAGACAGAACCAGCCTCCGAAACGTCGTGGTTTTAAAAAACAGACGATGGAAAATAGTCTGACAATGAATAATTTTAAGTATTTAGCAAGTTTACTTTAATTCTGCTAATAAAATACAGATGAAAAACTAACCTTATGGCAGTAATATACAGCTGTTGCAATTTGCCTAAATATTCTCCTAGCTTCTTCTTCAGCTAAAACCTTTCTTTCACTTAGAAAATCATACAGTTCTCCTCCTGCCGCATATTCCATTACGAGTACCATCTTCTCTCGGTTTTCAAACACTGGAAAATTACGAATTACACGAATAATGACAATCTAATTTGTAGCCCATATTTCTAATTTCCAAATTTAAACAAATGTGTTCCCTGTGATTTTGTATTATTAATGGTATTGATTTTTATTTACTGCAGTTACAAATATTTCTTATGATGTGGTAAGACTATAACTACTTTTTCGATACACGATATCCTGACAAAGTTCCATTTCACTTCCTGAATCCATACCGAGTCAAAATAAAATACTTCAGCAACTTTTAGTGTAGACTCCTAACACTTAATTTTGACATCCACATGAAGAAAGAGAGATGGATAAATAAAATCTCTTCATCATGCATTAATTTCCCACACTTCAGTCAAGAAACACATGAAAATTATTGAAATTCACACCTCCATGAAAATTTACCTTCATATATATGTATGATATTTGGATGCTGAACTGATGACATTATCTGAATCTCACGACGGATTCGCACTAGATCTGCTTCAGTCTCAATTTTTGCCTTCTTTATTGTTTTGATGGCAACCTGTAAAAAAATATGAATACATGTTTCATGAAAACATTGTCAAGAATGTATCATTTACACTTTCTGGTTCAGCTGAAGTATACAGTATAGCTACAAAGGATTTCAAGTACCAGAAACACCTGCCATTGAGAAGGCACATCTTAAAGAAGAATTAGGTTTTATACCATGTCGAAACAATCACGTTATAGGGGCTAAGCATGGAGACAGACATAAATACACACTGTATAATCTTACAGAGTCCCTCAACTACTTACTCAGTAGTCAAAAACTAGGAGACATACTGATTTGGTTCAGTCAGCTAGATCCTCTTCTGTCTTTAGGTAAAAGGGGAAGGACACAAACCCTAACTATTGGGTCCCTGGTCGAGCTAGCCTCAGACAATTTCTGTCATCATCAACATTATTGATGAAATAACAGCTACGAAAAAAGTAGTCATTGTGCTAAACTTCACAGCTAAAGTACCTTACCTCTTGTCCCGTTTCTTTGTTGATCCCTAGTTGAACTTTTCCATAAGTTCCTTGCCCAAGCTTCTTAATTATATCAAACCTGCAATGAAATTAATTAATTCCTTTAGAATAAGAGCATTCAGCATTAAAAGCTGCCCTGTTAATAGCAATGGTAACAGACCTCATTTGTCAATTTCAAAATTTAAAGGCCGGCTGCATCTTCAATTTATATATCTACACTATAAAATCTTAATTATATACAGAGTATATATAATAAATTATAAATTAATAACTACAGAACTTGTTATTTATATCTGTGCAAACATGAAAGACACTGGCATTTATGAAGTACTTACGCCATTTTCATCCACGTAAGTGCACACATATTTGGAAGGAGACACACATCATAACAGAAAGGGATAAATAAACTGGAAACCATACTTTTAATAATCTATTACCCCCATCATGAAAATCTGTCAAAATTAAGTGATTTATATACCTGGGTCTTTAACCCCCCTATTGGTCAATGAACTTGTAAAAAAAATTTTGGCACCATGACTTAAGATTTTGAGTTTGAGAGTGCAAAGGCCGCAAGCAAATATTTCATTAAACTTCACACAGACTTGTGTTGGAAAAGAAACCAATTTTTCCATCAATTAGCATATTTTGCTATTTAAAGAAAATAACATAAGTATATCCTAAGTTTAGTTGTCATCATGTTAAAATTACACTCCTGACTTAATATTCAGAAGTATACTTGAACTTGGCTACTTTTTCAGTTTAAACAGCTTTATTTTTAGAATGGAAAATGTTCGGTAAACCTACTCAATCTTAGCCGCAGCATGAGTCCATTATTTGTAAATAGCCTTCCGCTGAGCAACATCAGTAGTAGTGATGCCAACAATAATGTATTTTTTGTATACAAGTTGATCATGCTTGCCACAATAAAATTGTACTCACTTGCCACTGGAAAGTCAATTCACATCGGTAACAAAAGACATAAAACTATGAGAATGCCGTCATAACTCTAAATATTATGAAGCAATTAGTATTTAGAGAATCCTCAGTAGGCTCCAGGACTTTTAGATGGCTGTCTTTTGGGTTTTGATCTGTGTATTCTAGTACAAGCTTACCAACATTTCAAAGGTGCTTCCTGCGTGTCATAAGACTCATCGCCCTGATGATGGAGGCAGCAAGCACCTTTAAGATGTCAACAAACTTCTACCAGACTACATAGTGCAACAACCCAGAAGACAGCCATTTTCATACTTACCATGGTGACAATGTAAAATCTTACCCTCACTGCTGTGACTTGTTAATTATATTTTTGATACTTTTAATTTAATTCCAGATCTTGAAGAAGAATTATGAAGATACTGTATGAAGAAATTTAACAGTGCTGAGTTTAAATTAATGATGATTATGAAGAAAATGATTGTGCCTTACTTTGAAGTAAGAAACACCATAAACACTGCAGTCAAACGAGAGTAAATATTAACAAAATATGAAAGAAACCAAAAATCATAGCCTATTATTAGACATAAGGAAGTTCACTTACGGGAACAGTGTGTGTGTTCAATTATAAAGTTAAACACAACTGTCAGTCCACAGCACAAACCACTATAACATAACAAAGCTGATATTATTGCTTTTATACAGTGATACTTAATTTGCATCGAGAAAACGTTTCTAGTGGTTGGCAGTGAGCTATGCAGTTCCAGCTGGTATCACTACACACACTGTATAATCAATGTCAAATTTCAAAATCCAATTTATTCATCTGGAGCAGTAACCATTTATGAAAAAAGCGTAACCCATTTTTTTTTCTGTACAAAACATAACAACCCCAAAAAGTCTACGATCATCAAATACAAGTCACGTAATAGACTTTAAATACACTTCTACATTTAATTTTTAAAATCGTAAGTTCCAAAAATCTTATTTCCATAGGTCTTGGCTGCCTAGCAACATTCGGGGAAGATGGTTAAGGACTAGAAGAGTGGATGCCAATAGGTTGGCATCCCTCCAAGACATCGGTAAAAACGACTACAGGAACGGCTACCACAAGGGCACAATGGCATTACAAAAATACACCAACTACATCGTGTTGTAGTTTTCTGTAGCATGAATGATAGCTCCAAGACAAACAATGCTAGGGGAGAAGACAAAGTTCTGTGTCAGAGCGAGACACGCTAGATTTTGAAATCACACACACACACATCTATATAGAAATTAAAACTTGAAATATAAGGGTATTAACACCGATTTCAGAAACAAATAACGCACTCTATTTTTAGAAAAAATAATACAAATGCAAAATATGTTACAAAACATTAAAAAAAAATTAAAAAGTTCTGAAAAATTTATATCTGAAGCTTGAAATGTTTTTGAAAAAACCATTAATTTTAAAAAGGAAGAACCATAGGTTACAGACACAATTTCTGAATTATGAAACAGAACTTGATAGTGTGCTGAGAAGAACATTATACTACACACTGACAGATAAAAATATTCCAAACGGATTCATCTGTACCTGCACCCACTTACTGTCGAATGAATCAAAGATGCCCATTATTACCAACTTTGTTTAATAAAATGTCAATGGTATCTTCTGGATTGTGATATCATGTAGGTAGTACCCAAAATTTGGAGAAATATACCTCTCCCCCCCCCCCCCCCCCCTGAAATAACCTTTGCTTGAGTTTCCGTCGGTGATTATGAAGTCGTACTCCTGCTGTGCTCTCCATTCCCCCCATAATGTTGTGTATGCTTGCGTCGCTCACAACCATCTTTGGTTACCTATGGAGAAATTAAAGGTTTAGTACACCGCTAAGCATTGCACATGACACTTCTAAATAAAATTAAATGACACCAAAGTGGCATCCATGATACACCCACACCTGGAAATAAACATGACAGTTTCATTACATGTCTTTTATTCCAAAGTTGGACAGTAAAAATAGAATACGTGTAAACAAATTTGTAAATAATAATAATCCGTGGCATAGCATCCCTCTGAGAGCCAAATTTGTAAAAGGAATCAGAAATTATGGAGTACATACAAAGAAGCATTAAGCGTCGAAAGTATTCTCCACCTTCTCAACCAAACTAAACAATTACTTACGACAGCACGAAACACAAGCAAACAGCAGAGTCGACATATTTCTCAGAATGATGAGCAAGAAAACAATATAGTTTTACCTATGTATGTCCAGAAAACAAAACAAACATATAAAGAGTACACAGATGCAGGAAATAATTTTAAAAATTCTGTAACAAATACATACTTCTGTGATGTTTATAAAATAATTACAGTACTCTAAATTAAAATTATTTTACTCCAATTTGAAAACATATCCCATACAAAATAATGTTCTCGAACTTAACGGCAAATGAACAGCCAACAAATTGATGGGAATAAAATCAAGAAAGAATCCGGTCGATAATCCCGACTTGAACAAGTTATGGGACGACAACTTTCTCCAACAGTAAAATCCACTTGCCACATCCATTTGGAGTTTTGAGCTAATCTGAATAAGACCTTAAAAATGGGTTACTCTGTACTGATGAGTCAGAATACTTCCTGAAAATGAAAAATGTGGATAAACACACAAATACTGACTAAGACGTTGTGTCATATGTCTATTCAAGAAACTTCCTTTTTATGAATCTCAACGGTGCACTGATATTGCCTTTTAGCCCACACTACTTGGCCATCTCCTGCGCCACAAATAGATAACATGTAGAAACAATAACACAGGTTTATGAGCTATTCCATTTGCTTCTGCAAAGAAATCGAGTCACATATCCCACACAATGCGTGAATTTAATCACGTGTCTACATACGAGTCCTTCTAAATACACCAAGTTGTATACCTCCAGAGAAACATTTTACAGGAACAGATTAGGAAGAGTTTGTCCTCTAATGAAAAAAAAAATATATATATAAAATGTTCTCTCAGATTTAAAAATTCTAAATACATTATTACCATCTTGTAAAATTTGATATCTCTAAAACTGTACAATAAAAACATTTTCTTTTAATACTACTAAATAATTACTTTTCTTTTTATAACCCAATATTAATTAAACCCTGCTTTAGCAATCAATAAATATACATCCTGACCACATAGCATATTTACAGTTTCTTCATATGAATCTGAGAATAACTGACAATTATTTCCTTAAATAGCATTAATGAATTATTCTTTGTAATGTAGAAAAGTTATTCTCTTTGCAGAAGCGACCGAATGTCTCTGTATCATTTAGATGGGCTTCAGCTTCAAAGGGTTTAAGAGCAAAGATATTAAATTATGTACCACTATTTGGATTATCAAAATTTCATATCCAAATCAAACCAACATGCAACAGGAAAGCCAAAGCCTGATAGCAGACCACAAAAAGATATCTGACATGGGTATTGCAAACATTTAATATAATTTAGCCAAAATGCATTTTTAGAGTTTTATCAATCCGTGTCTTATCTGAAACCCTAAAGTTTAAAATACTCAAAACTGTAATTTTTATAAATGTGAAACCTGGTCTTTGACAACAACGCAGGGCAGTCCTAGGCTGTTAGTCGCCGGCTTCTCATCGCGGAGGCCGGGGTTCATCCAAAGGGCAGTCCATATGGAATTTGTAGAGAAAGTGGCACTGGGACAGGTTTATTCATGTACCTCGACTAATTTTGAGAACAAAGTGATGAGACAATGCTGTTCTGGGTTATGACGCAGTATAGACTCGTGGATAGATACCAGCGTTTCAGCCCTAAAATTGGAGACAATTTCTCCAAAACGTTACCTACGATACCTACACAGCGACATAACCCAGAGGACAAGATCATAATCTTCAAGGTCGTGAGACCATCAGATCTCACGAAGTGATGAAAATAAACTGAGATCATCGACGAGATGTCTCGCTTACTCATTGCCCTGATGATAGACAGCAAGCACCTCTGAAACGTCGGTAAACTTATACCAGACTACATAGCGCAGTATCCTAGAAGACTGTCGTATGGAAAAATCAAGTTTATTTTTAGCTACAGGCACGGTTAGACTTCCTTTTAATTAAATAATTTTCTACTGATCGATTTACTGCTACAATTAAAGCGTCAAGGAGTCATGGTTACACGCAACCCGGGTATCTGAAGCCTGCATATGTAAAAACAAGCTTAACTATTGAGGAAATAAGTTTCGCTAGCTCTTGCGCGATCGATGAACCAACGCAAGAGTTTGTCCCTGACTGTACGCATTACTTGGGACTGGCCACAGAGTTATTTTAGGTTGGACGTCACAAATATCTTCTGCCCGTCGTATGCAGTCTGCTGCCGTCAGCGTATCTTGCCATCTCTCATCTGGCTACAGCCCTGGTTCTTAACCTGTGGGGTACAGCCCTCTAAAGTTGGAGTACGAGGATTCTAATAAAGAGCACGAAGCAATTTGAACTCGAATCGGTACTGCCCAAACGAATAAACGGATTTAGATATTCACGGCGTTGATTCCGCTGGGTTGTTACGCCATGTCTGGTAGATGTACGCCGACATTTCAGAAGTCGCTGATGCTTCCATCATCAGGGCGATCATCATCTATACGAATTTAGATTGAAGTAACGACAATTAAACAGCCGACTGCTGCCTCTGAGATAAGCCAGTATTTGATCACACTGTACCAAGTGGCATTACTGGCATTAACGATTAAAAATAATTATCATTACATTTTATTCAGTTACATGTATTAATAAATATTACTACATGAGTTTTTCATTTATTTACGGTCTACTTAATGATGTAGATCAGTGGTATTCAACCTGGGGTACGCGTACCCCCGGGGGGACGCGAAGACATCTTAAGGGGTACGTGAAATTTAAAAAGTGACAGTGGAACCACGGTTCCGGAGAATTTGACGTAAATACGTCTATACGGTAAGGAAGTTTATATAGTGGCTTTATACACGCTTTACAATCGATTAAAGTTTGAGTAAGACTGTACTGCCTACCTTGAATTAGTTACGCTTAAGATGGGCCTGTGGTAGCTGAAATATGTTATAAAATTTGTACACTTTAGAGTATCAACATATCTATACAAGATTTTGATGTAGTAATACTACATTGAGGATTTGACATCAACATTAAGCCAAACGTTTCCTCCATAAATGTGACAAAGCTTTGATTTTCGTCCTTCTTTAAATCAATGTTATCTCCTGTCATTATTATCGGCATTGTATCAGGATCTTCTGTGGCCATAACTGAAAACATCTTTGTATAATTTCTCAAATGACTCAAAATAAGTCTCTTACAATCATCAATATATTCATTCGTATGTTCAGCATTAGTTTTTGGTATTTTTTTGGGAACTTTAGGTTCATTATTTAATACTTCTATTTTTTTTACGTTTTCTGTACTGTCTCATATATTCTGCGTTATGGAGTCTTTTAGCTTCAATGTCATCCATCTTGTACATAGTATGACGCAACAAACTAACGCAACAATAGATTTCTTAATAATTCTTATATAAGATAAGTACTTGTGATATTGTAAAACGTTTTTACCAGCACAAAATTATCTACTCCACGACGCACTTCTTGTACGAGCGATTCACAGCTCAGCTCTTTCCGCAATAACGAAAGCGGATTGTTGACGGCAATAATGAAACACAACAATGCCGAGGAAACAGATGACGTTTCCTAGGTAACACTTCTGATGCAACCCTCTTTGCGCGACAGCCATACTCCGTCCATTTGCTTTAGTGATAGACATGCTTCAGTAGCTAATAAAGTTACATGTCTGACCTTGTTAAGAAATTAACACATTCTTACGCATTATGGCCACGTGTTCACAGAGAAACTGGCGATAACATCAAATATGGCAGAACCAATTCTCTATCAGAGATTCAAAACAATCCATGCCATAAGACGTGAGTGTATTGTGTACAACACTGGTTGCCAGAACTATTTCAAAAATTAATTCCGCGTGTCATTGCTACGGACACGGAAAAACGCTCGACAGATGTCGATGTATCCGCATCCATAAATAAGGATTCCACAATTGTTCCATACGAGTACAACCCCGACTTAATTTTAGCTTCTCGTAATGGGAACAAGATTTATCCAATCGCCGTTCGCCATGAATAAATATAGACATAAACATGTGAATGAGCGGCAAATCACATGTCATATAAACAGCAAGCCTTTTATTTATGTCTTGTAGCAGTGAAAAGAAAGATGTGAACACGTAAAATAACAAAATGATCTACGAAACAGCATTTCCGTCCAATCCTCACGACGTCTTCGTTAAACGCGAGTCTGTACTCGTCTGAGAAAATTTCTGCAGTCGCAAAACCGACGATGTAATGTTTAACTCATAAAAGCATAAATAAAATAAAAAGTAGAAGTTTTCCGACGTTTCAGAGATGCATGCTGCCTTCGTCATCAGGGCGATGAGTCGGCGCAACAACCCAAAATGTAGCCATCGTCAACGCGCCGCCGTGATAACCTCAAATCCTACAATTTCAATTAGAAACACAAGACAGGTACATCGTATGTAGGACTGTCTTCAGGAATTTTTACGTGTCGCTTGAAAGTCAGAACAAACTACAGAAACACACGGAAACGCACTTCATACCACACTTCTATTTATAGGACCCAAGTTTGTAACATCTCATGGTCGATCCCGAGTGTGACGAAAATGGAGTTAAAAAATATACCAACCTAACCGCATTTTGCAAAAGTATAGAAGTATATGTAGTTTACCTAACAGCATTGTCAATAGACTGGTAAAAGTTTACCAACGTTTCAGAGGTTCTTGCAGCCTCCATCATCAGGGCGGTGATAGGATTATTAATGAACAGAATATTGGAAATAATGAAGAAAGACGCAGATGTGACCTAATTGAAGGTACTATACTGGATCTTGCCGAGAGGAAGTTTGGAAAATTACAAAAATCTCATTTAGGATATCTGGTCTCCCGGCTATAATTTTATCCCCAGCAATTCAGCAGACCTTCCATTAAATGTTTACAAATAAATAAATTATTAATTGATAGAATTTCACATAACTTGTAACTGCTTCTCAATAAGTGTCCGAAAATTATCACGAAATTTGGATTTATTATAAATTCCCCCTGAAGCTTCCTCTACCACAATCACGATCATTTCCAAATTATTTAACAGGGCTGCTGTACAAAACCTGATTATAAACTTGAGCTAACGCAGAACACTTTATACTAAGATTAGTGCTGCATAAGTCAACATATGAAACCCAGCAGCTTTCTTATCCAACTGCAAGTTCATCCAGATCTCATTTTACCTAGAATAGACTGATTTCTAGCGTGACACCACAGTATTACTCAAATTAACACTACATATTGGCAAGGGCAGCTAAGTTAGTAAAGTGGCCAGCAACAGACTAGACTATCAGGACTTGACCCAACAGGGGGCAGGACGTTTCTCTCCATCACCACGTCCAGAATAACTCTGGGGCATTCACACCCAATAAGTACCTCAGGGGTTATGCCACTGGAACATGCAGCTGGCAACTTGCCTCCAGCTAAGTTTAAGTGTAAGACTTTGCAGAGCATTTTATCTGCTCCCCTCATAAACCTTAATACTTAGGCACAGGGAAACTTTTTAACATTCATGGAAAAGAGGTAAACTAAATCAAGCTACAAAATTTCAGGCTCTCACAATGGAGAGTATAAAGATGTCCGACTTCTAGAATAAGAGGAAGTTCATTTACATTTTGGAGGTGTCTGCTGCCTTTATCATTAGGATAATGGATCATTACAAATCACCCTGATAATGGAAGCGGCAAGCACCTCTGGAACATCGGTAAACTTCTACCAGAAGACAGCCATCTTCAAAAGTACACCTATTTTGTGGGACCATCTGATAAAGCTAATCCTCGACGTATAAGACATCAAACAAAATATTAATTTACTCTCTCTCTCTCAACTGACCTCCTTAAACTTAATATGAATATTAGCCACCCACACATAACCTCACTTTGTACACCACAAATACATTTACACATTCAAAACCAATCAAATATTTTAATGTATATTACAATAGCAATATTATCTTGTCTGCATAAAGTGTAACATTCGTGATGAACAACTTCCTCAGTCAGCAGATGTAGAGCAGGTGGCAATCTAATTGTACATTCAAGAAGACATACAGGAAAAACAAGCTACCATCCTACCACCTGCACCCTCCTTTCCACAATATTACAACCTATTAGAAAAAAATAAATCTTTCAGAGTCATTTGGCATCCAATGTGGCAAAGTTTCCTGTAACAAGAATGGCAAAAATTCAAAGCAGAAGACAGTTTTAAAGATGTAAGATTTCAGGTTTTCACAATGGTGAGTATGAAGATTTCTGTCTTCTGGGTTGTTGCGCTGTGTAGTCTGGTCGATGTTAACCTACTGCCTCCGTCATCAGGGCAATATTCATCGCCCTGATGACGGAGGCAGTAGGCAGTAGGTAGTAAGTTATCCTCTACACTGGCTATACTTCTTAAAATCATGAATAATCATGAAACATACACCAGTCTGAATACAGGCCTGCCATTTCAGTAATACAAAACCAAATACCAGCAATAAACATTAAAACTGACAAAACTGTTGATCAGAAAATACCGGTAAAATTAAGGTTAGAAGTAATTATCTAGATTGAAATAAATTCCAAAAACTGGGAAATTTTGTAATATTTGCAGCATTTACATAACAAATAAAGAACATGCAAACAGATCAACTGAAATACCAACATCTTTGAAAAAAATTATTTGTAACTGTCAATAAACCCTGTACATGTTACTACATTAGGTGCTGAATAAGTAACGCGTTAGTAATAAGACTGACTACCAGAAATGACATCACTACTCTTGTATTTCACTTAGAGTTCCGTAATAAATACGACAATGATTTTGCATTATTTTACATATTATCTTCAATATGTGACTTCTGGTAATTTTTAAGATTACCACACGATTTCTCGCACATTTTGCACTAAGATTAACTTCAATGGAAATGAAGCCCCATCTTCAACATTTTTAAGAAAAAATTCCACGAACTTTGCACGAGTATTTCAGCGACAGTAGACAAGTCGCATTACAAATTTAAATACAATTGCACAAAATACCCCTTAACACGTATACTACATTCTCCTCATAAATATATCTAAAATAAAATGTAAGAGACAATGAACACCAATTAAATGTATATAGTACAACTTTGAAAGTTTCTATTTCGGTACATACTCACCACGGTTCAAAAACGATAGTCAGGAATGAGATTAATATTCCACACGAGTGATACCTCTGCAACTTTTTACACAGCCCAGTTCCTGTATTTCATAGCGCACTACTTCATATTGTAAAAACATCCCAAAATCCACTATGAACGCCATTTTTCACATAATTTCTCACTGCACATGCATCACATTAATGATGTTTTGTCACCATCTTTACTATTAAAGATTGGGAAGTTTCCTTATGCCATTCTGCAGCCATCTGTTGAGAACCGAGACAAAACAGAATACCAACCACCACTGACTAAAAACAAATCTGAACCGTAGATTAATACCAACACAGATCTGAGCTATCCCTATTATTGTTTAACTCAAACGCAGAACTCGTAGTTATAGCGGTAGGGTTAGGGCTGCCAATGTTTACCTAAGGCAAAACTGGACATGTTACTATAACCTACAAAACAGCATCTAGAACAGATTGGTTTCTAGTGTGAAGCCATATCACTTAAATTAACTATATAAATGACAAATGGGCCAGGACAGCTTGGTCAGAACAATACATGGCAAAAGAGTGACAATCTGGGCTCCATTCTTGTGCCTTGGAAGAGGAGGAAGAGAATTTTACAAAGAGCATGGTGGAAGTTAAAACTCCACTCACTGTCACATATTATTTTTATGGGCCTTCAGATCAGTTGGTCATGCTGTACAATACTCATGTTTGAAATGTGACAAATTAAAGCACATACTTGAGGACACACACACAAACCATAAATGAGAAACAAATATGAAAATATTTAACCCTTTGTACTCATTGTCAAACATCATTTGACATGCCAATTCACATGTAACATGCTTACAGCATATAACTTCTTGAATGAGGAAATGACACCTGATAAACAAAATTACATATCTGTCCATTTATCATCTATCACCATAAATGTCTTACAGGCTTAACCAGCAGGTAGTGTATCATAATCTCAATCCTTGGTCACTGTTGCAATTAAAATCTTAAATATGGGCTAGAATTAGAATAATGTTTTTACAGTTTATATAATTTATCCTCTCTCATATATTTTACATTTCACACATCAGCTTTCTCTCTTTCCATTCAATGCTCAAACTGTTTCAGTTGTCTAAAATCTGAAAATATCTTAATCTCATGGAATCTGTTTACATCCATTCTTGTGAAACAGATAAATGTACTGTATGCTATTTATTCAGTACACACAAATTAAATAAGTGTCAGAAGTTACCTTATACACTCTAAATGCTTAACAGACTCTATCTTACAGTCTACCAAGTCTGCTAATTATACATTTTAACCTATAATTATAATACATTGTAATATATCTACATATATTTTGTCTTCCTCTTGTTTCATATGAAATAGCTAGGGGTAATATAACATAAATTAAACAGTATATGAAGTGCAAAAAGATACAGGATGCAACAGAACTTTCTTGCAATATAAAGCAAAAAACTCTGCACTAATAATAATAAATCTTAAAACTTTCATTCTATAATTAACATTTATAGACAGGCACTTACGCTTAGCACTATCATCCATGTGTTAAGGTAGGTTAACTTTAACTGGAGTATGGTAATAATATTTCTAATATTTAGTAAAAGAAATTGTTTTAATAAATCTAACTGCAATCAAGAAATTGATACATAACAATGTAACAAATCCAAAAAGCTTGAAACTTAAAAAGATGAATGATGACTTAATCCATGTACAATCAATATGAAGGGAATACAATGAAAAGCAATCTTAGTCATTAACCACCTGTGGTAAAGTTACTTAGTGCAAGCTCCCACAGAAATTGCAGTGCACAACTTAAGTGGTCAGACATTAAAGAGCTTATGAATATGTACAAATGTATTAGTTACTAAATTAATTACACAAAAACACATAAAACTTACCTACTTTTAAAACTGCCTTGTTTATGTAGTACCTTACTGCTTAAACAATAATATAATACTCTTAAAATTTATTTTATATTGCATTTGCCTGCAAGAATAAATGTGTGTTGATTTTTGGTAAACACTAACAAACTTAAATGTTTAAACAGCAAAGCATATGTCTACTAACAATCATTTTCACAGAAATGAATAGTAGATTTAACCTTGTAAATGGTCTGCCACAGACCTGTCTTTGGTCAGTTCCTACTCTTTAACTCTGATGTTTTATCCATACCAACATCTCTTGGAATTCTGTAAAAATTTTCAGTTCATGTAGGCCTTTTCTTTTGCTTCAAGTAAGGTTATCTTTGAAATTATTTTCACTCTGCAAATTTCCATACATGTTGAGAGTAAGTTAATAAGCAGGTAATACCTACTCTGCTGGGACCAATTAAAGAAAGTTAGTTCCTTTCTGGGCCGGAATTTACCTGATGCCGTACACAGATTCCAGTCTCTGAAACATCTCCTTTTTCTGTTAATTAAAATTAGGATGATGGTTAACATCCATAAATACATTGTCATTGTGACTTATTTTGTTGTTGTAATGAATACTGATTCTTTAAGTTATAATACTTTCTCCATTCTGCGTGAATGACTTCTACTTTATTCCACTGTATTCTAGTCCTCATTCCAGAAGACTTCTGCCATTTTGGACTTCAGGATATTTAGAATTTACAGAATCAGACTGCCTGCCCCACCATCATAACATGTAATGGAACAAACATTAAAAAAGAGGCATACACGGATATTCTCCTTGGTGGTGCTGCCCAGAAATTGCCTGACTCTGATTTGCTCCACTTTGTGCCACCATAGCCGCCATGGACACAGGAGGCGGAGCAGGATGATAGGGTCCACTTGGATTCGGATGATGGAACCTGGGATCTAGCATCATGGCTGCTACAGCAGCAGCCGATGTTTGATGATGTTGCGACCTTGAAGAGGCAACACTTGGTGGAAGCATGTGATGATGTGATGGATTCTGATGATGATGTAAGCCATGGTGGTCTGTTTTAGAAGCTGGCCTATTTAATAACTGGTGGTGGTGATGGGAATGGAAGTCTATTGAAGAATGATGAGCATCTGGGAAGTTTGGATATCCTGAAGTAGGCTGAGGATGGGGTTGGTTGTTTGTAGAAGCAGACGCAGAATTAGGGGCATGATGTTGCATCATAAGGTCCATCTCTCCTCCACCTAGAGGCTGATGCTGTGGATTGGTGGAACTTCTGTCTGGTATGTTGTTGGTGCTACTGAAAGTTCCACTATTACCATCCTGATGAAAGTAAACAAAAGTATAACTATATATATCCATTTTTAATTATTATAATTTACTTTTTTAATCAGAGTCTTTGCAGGCCATTATTTTATTTAACAGTAAAAAGTGGAGTACAAAGATAAAATAATGTACAAGCTTGACACTCTGAATGCAGTAAAAGTAAATTACTGAACCCACTGAGAATCAAACCCAGAAATATCAAAATTCTGTATGAAATGAGTATAAACATACAAACTGCTACATACAGAAACCATATCAGGTAGCTGGCTACACGAATTACTGGAGTTAAAAATGGCTGCAGACAGAGGATGGACAACACAATAAAAATACTTCATTCACCATTTATCAAGCACTGCCAGTTTTGCATTAAGCACAAATCAACAGACATTTTCAAACTTTTCAAACATTCCTCCAACAAATGCAAATGCTTACATAGATTACCTGGCAATTCTTATTTGAACTTCTGCTTCCACTTGATGAAGCAGAATTTCCTCTCATAGGACGAGCCTTATATGGTACTTTAGCTGAAGCATTTTCTCCATGGTGGCGACCAAAGTGTTCCTTAAGCTTATCCCTTCGTGAACTTGCATATTCACATTGAGTACATTTAAACGGCTTCTCCTCGAGATGAATACGTTCATGTCTTACCTGGAGATATAATTAATCTTATGTGACGAGTTCTATGTCACAGAAATGAATGTAAATGCAAGTGGCTCTACCACTAATGTTTATCCTCATAAGTATAGATATAATAATCGAAGTTCATAATTTTATGCACAACAAGGATAAATATAGCAGTCACGCCAAAAGCACGAAATTAAAATCAGTCTTTTTTATGAATTATTTGCAAGAAGTGGAAGTACACTCACAATAGGGAGGTCTGTTCATCTGTCAATCTACAAGCTGGTTTGTTTTTTATGTCCTCTGTTGATCCTTTACAAGTTTAAAATCTATTTCTGACGTGGGGATACTCACAGAGCAGATTAAATAACTCCCACAGTTAGTGTGATCATGAAGACAGTGGTTGGAAGACAGGACTGCAGTTTTACGTGGTCTCTGAACCAAGGTGGGGGCCTAATACTTCACTTTTCTAAGGTTTTATCTTTGGAAGAAGTGAACACTTGATAGAAAGTTCTGGAATCCTTTAAAATAGACCATAACCACTTCTATCCTCAGCCCAGCAGAATAATTATTCACAAACATCAATACTATCAATGTCAGCAGTTGATACAACAATGTAAACTGACTAAACAACAAATCATCTGTGTATCTGCACACGATGAGGAGATTGGTATAAAGGAAAAACAATTAATTAAACTTACCAAGTGGCTCTTCTCGAGAAAGCCACGCCCACAGATATTGCATGAATGTGGGCGAACTCCAGCATGAGTGCGAGCGTGTGATCCTAATTGCGATTTCTTTGGTGTTGAATATTTACATTGCGGATATGAACATCTGTACACATCACCTAATGAGCATAAATTTGCCAGTTCATAAATAAATTACACATTTCACTTAATACATGGAAAAGGTAACTATATACTGATTTTATTTTGAGTCAAAAACTGTCGACCAATAATAACAGTATTTTAAAGGGGGCTGCACTCTTTCACATTAATTACACCAAAACTCAGAAAATTAAAATGAATTCAATTCAGTAGCATGCAATTTAGTTGAAGTATTTCATCACACTTACAGGAAACCTTGGTTACCTGAATGAATCCTTTTATGTGCTATTAGATGACTAAGATATTTTGTTGAGAAGCCACATATATCACAGAGGTAAGGACGTTCACTGCTGTGACTTGCTAGATGTTGCTCCAATGTGCTCTTCATTGCAAATGCTCGCCCACACATCTCACCTACAAAAACAATACGCGACCATACCTATACACTACAAATGTGTTATAAACCAAAGAGCCTTCTTGTTAATGAAATTCAAAAAGAACCATACTATGAGACCAAGATGTCCTGATGAATAAAGGAGTGATTATAAAATCGCATGTTAACTTTCTGTTCATAGTATGAATGTACGAAACAGCAGACTGCAACTTTAACCATTATCACGCATGTTTGACTATAAAATCACATGTTAACTTTCTGTTCGTAGTATGAATGTACGAAATAGCAGAAGATTATGATAACCTGCAACTTTAACCATTATCACGCATGTGTCACTGCTTAGACATGATCCAGCTGGCCATGTAGAAAAATAGAATACTGCTAAACTGTTAAACCTGATGCCAAAGGTTAAAGTAATACAGTTGATATTCATCTTGATTCACCAAGCGTCGAAGATATTTTACCAAAGATTATTCCATAGAGTAGATAACTAGGGTTCATTTTCTAGCACAGGCAAGACTTTTTCCCTTGTGACAACATCCAGACTGACTATGGAGCCTTCACACCTTCATGCTGTGGAACTTAAGACATAAAGGCACAGGGAAAAATTAGAATAAACAGTGTAAAGACAAGATTAATAATGAATGCAAGTCACAAGCCCACTAAGTTTGTCTAAACATAGTATAAAAATTGAAAGTCTCTATCCCTGCTATGAACTGAACCCTGGCTATTCTGCTTATAACCAGACACTACATTAACCGAAGCGTCATGCCTCCTCCTATGTAGCAAATCCAATACATAATTTTATTAAAGTATTAGAAGCGATGGGTTTAAAATATGATTATATACGTCTGCATGTAAAGTCACGAACAGCTTACAAAATACTGACACTTGTACGGGCGGTCTCCTGTATGGCAGCGCATGTGAACCAAAAGATTGGGGCGAGTTCGACAGCAATATCCACAACGATCACAGCGATGAGGTCTCTCATCGGAATGCTTCATACGATGAGTCAGTACAAGATGAAGTCGGTCACATGTATAATCACCTGCAATGAAGACACATGTAAATGAGGCAAATTTATACATTTGTAAATACTTGAGGAAGAAAACATTCATCAAAGCAGGAGCTCAAATAGTCTGATAGACCATGACGAACAAAACAATATAATTTTATGCACTTCCCTAACAAGAAGATTACAGCACCTTCTCAAGGGCTCTGCTCAAATGAACTGGTTGACTTACTAGCTTTGTGATGACCAGCATGTCAAAGCTGGTGTGTTATTTCTGAATAGCCAAATTCACAATCTAGCTCCTGAATAAGCAAATTTGTAAATTTCTGACAAAGAAAAAATGTCTAAATACATATTTAAAAAATAGGTGAAAACCACAAATAACAAGGTTATATTCATTCCTTTCCTCTGTTTTGATCTGATCCATATTTGCTCAAATACAGCGCGTAATTTTGTTCATCCAAACACCTTCTGCAAAACAGTGTGCATGAAATTTAAACACTTTAAATTTTGTTAGGTACTTCTAGCTACAACCACAAACACATTTACTGAAATGTTAAGGAACTATTTGAGGAAAGAAAAATGTCTATCACATTCAGACATTTATAATACTTTTAACAAATTAATGGCTCTATTTTCATCCTAGTCATAGTTTAATGAAAAAATACTTGAAGAAAAGTTATAAGTGGAAAGATGAAATTCCTCTGGTAGATGTGATTTTCTCCTTCTGTACTGTTAACATACTCTGAGAACTTAATAATGACTCTAAGAGGATTTATCTCTAAAATTAATTATCTAACCCTTATTTTAAAAGGGTAAGATTTTGATACGGTGTCAGGCCAAATCTTCATACGAATCTTAATTCTGGTTAGCTTTAAAATAATTGTTTACATGATCATAAAGCTGTATAAGTAATTTTCCTCTGTAAATTTGTACTGTTTCAACTTACAAGAATCACATTTAAAAGGAGGTCCTTGAAAGTGGGTTTTCATGTGGCTAAAATAATCTTTGTTCCACTGGCATATGAAGCCACATATACCACATTTGTATGTAACATCCTTCTCATGAACCAGTGCTAAGTGCTGTTCCAAGCGTGTGGTGTCATGTGCCACATGAGAACAGAGGTGGCACTTCAGCCCATCCTCCACCATATCTCCTGTAATACGACGCACAAGAATTCTAAATATTGCAAAGACTCTCAGAGAATAATACAGAGTGAGTACTGAACGTCCAGTAAGGTGTCACATAAACATGATTTTGTGAAGTACATACCTTTTATGCTCTATAGAAAACCATAATCTTTATGATTTGTATTATATGAATTAATTTGTTTTGCCACTGATGATGATCTCTTGAGGTCGAAATGCGTTTGGCATTAGTATCCTTCAAAGTGTAAACATTTTTGTTCATATGCATGTTTTATACTCCAGCACATGTTCGGATATTCGTTTATTAGCTTAACTTGCCGTTGTCTCACATTAACATCACACTGAATAAGAGGATGAACAGGTGTGAAATTGGTCACTGTCTCTTTTAAGAAGCTTGTTTTGAATGACTAGGGACAACTGCAAAATGCCTCAATCATAACAGCAAGAATTTAAACTGGGAATCATGTGATAACACCTTACCTAGTGCTTCATTATCACTTCCAGTATCCTGCCTTGGTTGAATTCCTTTGTTTCTTCTGGCAGCTAACGCAGCTTTAAGGGCAGCTAAGCGAGCTCCTGGACGAGCTCCAAAGAATTTCTGCCTGCATCTACGACGTGATCGGCGTAGTACTGATGGTAAAATAAAACAATTTCTTATTCCACAAGGTTTAAATTCCTAACTGGTTAATGATCAGGAAATTAAGAAACTCACATCATAAGCGTAACTTTTGACTTTACGCAGTGAAGACCAAAGCACAATATTGTGATGGTAATAATCATCTCAAATTTGAGGAATTTCAATATTTTCTTGTTAGGGAGGCAGTGAATATGTTTTACAAACAAAAAATACCCACAATGAAGTATTTCATGACAAATAGGAATTATTTAAATGACAACATAAAGCCATCTTATTACCATAAGTTATGTTACTAGTACTAGACTACTACAAGTTTCAAATTATTAAAAACTGAATGCAATGACAATTGAATCTCTCCATATATTAAATACACTTACTTAATTTATGTTTCACTCTAGTTTTGGGAACTGATGGATATGATTCACATTTTTCAGATTTTCCCTCAGTAATTTCATTAATATGTTCAGCTTCAGATTCCTGCAATAATATAAAACCTTAAAGTATATTACATAAGAAATGTCTTCTTTCCTCCTCTTTATTAATTTATCCTCTTCCACCTGCAGGTGTAGAGGTATTCATTCATTTAATCTATTAGAAATTTTGTAGGACTCCTTGGATGAGTGATCAGCCTGTCACAAGGCCTCTACCTGTACACAGGACAGCACAACATAGAAAGACACAGACAAATATCCATGCCTTGAGTGGAATTCAAACCCATGGTCCCAGTGTCCAAGCACACAAGGCCCACAACTCAGACCACACAGTAACTGTGACCGGCACAGAAGAAATGTAAAGGACAAAATTTATTAACATGGAAGCAAACTGGAAGATGTCTGTGTTCTGGTGATTCATCACTCTGATGATGGAAGCAGTAAACTCCTCCGAAATGTTATTCAATTTCTACCAGACAAAATGTACAACATCTCATAAGTCAGCCATCTGGAGTACGACTACAACAATGGAAATAAACAGCGAAATATTTAAGAACCACTAAATGCCAAATGTTATAATTAATTAGTTTTCAAGGAATTATATAGCTAACAAGTAGTTTTGTGAGAAAGGTAACAAGTCACACATTTCACACAAGATGATGATAAGAGAAGTAACAATCTTCAGCATGCCACAAACCTGAGTCCTTGTTATCATCTGTTGACCTGCACTTGCATCATCAGACACAGATTCCTGGAGGCCCTCCATGGCTGACGAAACTGCCATATTCAAGAATGAATCACCATCAAATGGGAAACCAGTCTAAATGAAGAAGATAAAAAATAAGTAAGTTACCATGTCTTAATTGTACCACCAAACAGTGAGGTATGTCGACTCCTGTGATCCAAAAAAGTTCACTAAGTGGTATTAGATCCTTATAAATCAGATCAGATGGCTGCAGTTAGACAAATAGTACATGACTTTGCAGGTTAAGTAAACCCACATTAATTATTTGGAACTTTCCAAAACCACAACTTAAGTCTTTCAGCAAACACACACATCTTCAGCACCAAACTATTCAAGGAATGTGAATAACCCAAACTAACTTTACAAAACCAAACTTTAAATTATCTAACCTAATCTAATACAACTTAGCCTAACCTAAGATAACCTAACCTAACCCATCTTAAATAGTTTAAACTGATTATATTAATTTTTTTAACCAGCATAATTTGATACTAATTTACCATGGTACTGCTCCTTTTTTGTTGTTGTATTCTGTTTCTTTTTCTTTTTGTACAGTCATTTGTTCCAAATCCTGACCTGTGATTCACAGAATATATATACAAGCTAATCTAAACATACTACCTTTTCCTGTAAACATTCTCAAGACTAAAATCTGCATATCTAGTAGAATTGCTTTACATGACCAATAGCACACCTGTCCTTATAGCAGTATTGTTTTATCCATAAAAGTGTAAGGGATAATAAATAATGCAGGTTTGATTAGTGGAATACCTCTGCACAACTGAAACTTCATGGTCATCTATATATATTCCCATGGCATAACTAAAAGCTATTGAGTTCAAACTGACCTGTGAGAATTTATCCTGAAGCGCTTGATAAATACTCTGATACTTTGGAAACAGAAGATTATTTTCAACAAGAGCTTGAAGAATGAGGTATAGTGATATCTCACTATTTGAATACAATGGTTCACGGTCAATATGTTCAGATATAGCAGCTCCATCCAGTGTATTCCAGTTCACAAACATTAACAGTGTTTTCATATGACGCTCCCTTAAATTAACATCATAATTGATCCATCGGGTAATTAGACCTAGAATAGCATTCTGAGGAACACTCCAGGCCTGGGAAAAGTTATAGAGGAAAAACAACTTAGTTCTGATCCTAAACAAATGAAATAACATGAATCTCTACAATAAAAGAATTCTGTATAAATAATGATCACAAAATCTAGAAATCAAACACAGTTAAATAAATAACACACAGTACCTTGTCAGAGAAAAATGCTTCTATTTTTGGTAATGAACAAGTTAATATTTCATCCTGTAGTATCACCTTGTTTAAATGTACTTGTACAAACAAGGTTGCTGCTTTAGACAATGCAGGCATGTTGTACTTTTCTGCCATTTCTTTAACTGACAAACAATTTGTGATATCTAAGTACCGGTCCAAATATTCTGCACAATAGCTTTTAAGTTTTGTTACAATAAAGTGATTAGCAAGACGTAACAATTCTGTAACATTATTTTTATCTATTATTATTGATCCGGTGTACATATAATTAAGTAAACAATGGAATATATCAGAGTTCTGACACGTAACTGTCAATCGCTCTTTAACAGTTCGATGCATTTTCAGTATTGAGTCAAAGTATGGTGAACACGATGCTAAAACATTTCTATGGGCACGGAATTGCTTTCCTTCAACATACAAAGTCACATCACAAAATCTTCCTTGTTCCCTCTGTGCCTTCAGTTTCTCTAACACAACATTTCCATGTTGATTCTCAGTGAAGTTCATTGGATTATTTGGTAGAGCTGTTAAAGCCATTGCGAACTGTATGTTACTTGATTTCCAGAATCATGTGGATTACATATGGCATAATTTTTTTCAATGTTAAGACACTTTGGTAAACATAAAATGTTACATTCTGTCTGTTCCTTAGTCGGATGTCGAAAGTTATTTATGTTCACAGTACATCACTAAAATGTGCATAATTCGTGTATTTTTTATTTATTGCTGTGGCCATTATCAGCAAACTGATTCCTACTGCCCAAGCAGCCGAAATTATTACAAATGTCAAAAGTGACAGATGCGGCCTGACTATGTCGATACGAGAACCGAGAACTTGTTACTAACTTCATTCGATGCTCTACTACATTTAGTGGCCACTTAGGTTGACTCCTTAATCGACTTATATCGAAAACAGTATGTCTTCATAGATTTTGGAAGCCGTACCCATATATGTGTGTGTGTAAATGAAATCGAAGTGAAGTTGCCATATGTAGTAAGAGCAGTAATTGAGTCGATTGTAAAGTGCTGTGGTCAGTCGCATGGTGAAATGAGGTGTCGATGGTGGTGATCCGAGAACTAAATCTGGTGGAGTCGTGTTGTGTTAGGGTGTACTGTAGATTGGCAGGGTATTTTAGTTATTTCATTGGCGTTGGAATTTATAGAATGTCACATCAGACCGGAATACGTGGTAATAATACGTGTAAAGAATTTTAATAGATTTTCACTTAGAAAAGGAAACCAGTACAAATTTCGCTTGAGAACAAAGTACATTATTGTTAAATGTCGTGTCTAATAATTATAATTACATTTTTTTTTCAGCCAACGATGCTCTCAAAAAGTTCTTTGGGAAATGCCGTGGCGGAAATGTGCGTGTATTTAAAGTGTCTATTGTAAATGGTATGTATATGCATTCCAAAATCACCAGTCTTCAATTGACCAGCATACAAATCATAGAATTCTTAAGCATTTTCAGCACTCGAGGTATTTACTTTTCACAGAACATTTGTGTCGGTCATTTCACAAGCTCCAGGCCACAGCAGATTTGAACAGCATAATTGGTAATGGAACAACTACTCACACAAGGCTCCTACCTTGATCCATTAGCTAAATGTAAAGTGACAAGGAAACTTATATCTGAAGCCACTTCTCCCAACCATACATAACCTAGTCTGTGATGCTTGTTACAATTTTAATGTATAGTTTGTTGCATATGTAATCTATTGTGATCCGACACTGGCACAAGTTGAATTGTCAACCTGTTTTATGCACAAGTGTTCAGTTGCATAGGAAATTGTTTCATTCACTGAAAATTGAGTTTGTAATGTGTTAGTAGACAGGTGCACTTCTTTTTGGTAAATGGCTCCAGATTGACAGTTCCTGAAGAGAACTAATATGACCAGTTTACAAATTTCCATATGACTGTGAGTTTCAACTTTATAGGCAGAAAATAATTTACTGATGAGAAACTTTGGAATGTTATACAAAAGGAACTGTAAAAATTCAAATAAAAGCACTTTCTTCTTGCAGAGGAACTTGCCTTGTCTTCATTCAAGGAAGCTTCTGGTACATGGGAAGAGGATTATGACAGTTTGGTAACACCACTGATTGAGGATGAACAGCCTTCTTATATCTTATACAGGTATATCTTCTTTGCTAGCATCCTAATTCAAGATTTTGCATTAGCGTTGAATTGTGTAATAATGACTGATTTCAGGTTATATTAGCAGAAATATTTTAAATAGTTCCATTTCATAGCATTGTGCCAGATAAAATTATTTGAACATCTGAACTACCAATCAGCAACTGCCTGCCTTCAGCTGAGTTCTACCAGTTCTTAGTATGAGTCTAAAATCCTTCTGTAAGGTTTCCAACAAATTAACATTTATCAGACCTGCATCATAATTTACATGCTATGTAGTTGGCAATGCATTGCAGCATATCCTTTTAAACTTTATATCCCAAAGTTAAAGTTTGGTGGTAACAGATCTGTGAATGAATATGGGTGAGTGATTAATGACCCTAACACTACAGCCATCTATGATGTATTGCCCTTTAGTACAGGGTCTTATAACCTCTGTTCCAGTACAACAAAGGTTAATAAACAAAGACATGATTCTATGCATATTCATATTAGTTGAACATAAAATTTTGTTGCCATTCCTTGGAGGAAGACTGTAATAAGATACCTAAGCAAGAACCTCTTTCTGGCTTGAATTTGTGAAAGTTAAAGCAGTAGCCTAAAGTGTCATACTCACACAGTACTTTTATTCTATTTAATAAAAGACTAGATTCCAAGAATACATCGGGGTATGAATGGTTGCTGATCAGCTGGTCACCAGATAACTCTGCTGTAAGACAGAAAATGTTATATGCATCAACAAAGGCAACACTGAAGCAGGAATTTGGCAGTGGGCAGATAAAAGAAGAGCTTCATGCCACTACACCTGTATGTATCATAAATAAAATGAGCTTAGTACCATGTTTACTTTAGTGTGAGCTAAGTTTGTTCCTCTGTAATTTAACATTTTAAAAATGAGATGTCATATTACAATCATGAAGAAAGCAAAATTTTTCATTCAAATATTTGTCCACATGTGACGAAAGACCCTTTCCTGATGATTTATAGTGGATAGATGATTATTAGTGTTTTAAAAATATTAAGTGTCTTCAAAGTTACATTTTATAATCTTTGGTGCAATCCTGTCAGGGCTGGTTTTTACATGTTCTTGCCATCTTTTTCAATTGAGTTGAATGATTTTTTTTTAATTTATAGCATCATAGTTGACCCAGGTAATTTGTATTTAGCCAGTGATCACTACATTTTAACATGAGTTAAGCAGAAATTACCATAAAACAACTATTTTTCATTTAACAGGAAAAGTACTTTAGGCCTTTTCTGGAAAACTGCATTTTTTTGTGAAACCACATTACCTTTGGGTCAGTACAAAGAGAAAATAATTTTGAGAAAAGATAAGTTCAGTTGGAAAGTATTTTAACATTCTCAACATTACCTTTGGGCCAGTACAAAGATAAAATAATTTTGAGAAAAGATAAATTCAGTTGGAAAGTATTTTAACATTCTCATAGTAAAGCATGAAGTCATTATATTCTGCACATAAGTAGAAAGCTGTTTACAGCTGTGATCAACAAGAATGTGAATCTTGAAATAGTATCGGAAATGTTAACTGACTCAACAAACGCAATAGATCAACATTACTAAACCATCGTGAAAGCATTCAGTACCATTTAATTTGAAACAATGTTTGTCATATTTCTTAAATATAGGATGATGTTACTTTAAGTGGTTTTCGCCGGCATAAACGGGCTGCTGGAGCTCCGGCGCCCCTTACTTCAGCAGAGGAAGAGCTTGCTGAGTTGCGGCGCACTGAAGTCGGTGTCGGAGTTAGTATTGACTCCAGACATCAGACTCTGTCTGGTGTGGCATTTCCTTTAACTGGGAATGCATGGAAAGCAATAGAAGCATTGGCAGCTCAGAAGTATAATTATGTTCAACTGAGAATAGGTACTTAATTTCCAAGAGTTATTATAAGATTTACTAAATAAGTTGCTCTGTAAAGTTGACTATTATTATTGATGTGTTGCCCTCGGTGGACTGGTGGTTAGCGTGCTCGCCACTGGACCCAAGGTTCGCGGGTTCAATCCCGGCTGATGTCAATGGATTTTTAAGGGTGTTAGGAGCAGAATGATATAAAACATCTTATTCTTCTTTTTAATTTGGTTCAGTGTATGGTATAATCATATTTCAGATAATCCATAGTTATAGTTTTATTCATTCCAGATGTAAATGAAGAGAAAATCCATCTAGCAGATGCTGGAGATATCAGCACCGACAAATTGTCGCAGAAGATTCCATCTGATTGTGCTAGGTACCATCTGTACAACTTTAAGCATATACATGAAGGAGACTACATAGAAGCTATTGGTATGTTCTGTCTGATAATGTGTAACTTTGTATAAACTTGGCACGGAGTATTTAATTGGATACAGATAATCAGTAGTAGCGTGGATGGAAATAAAGCAAATATTTAAATTGGTATGAATATCTTTGGTAACATACCCAAAATGTGGCCAGACTGACCTGTCAGAAAAGTAAAAACATGCCAGTCCTAGTAAATTATGAGCAGCTAGAGATTTGGAAAATATGAAGATGGCTGTCTTCTGGGCTGTAGGGCTGCGTAGTCTGGCACTACAACCCAGAAGACAACCACTTTTGTGTTTATTTGTACTCTCAACCTAGTTTTCATTCTGGGTTGTTGCGCTGTGTAGTCTGGTAGATGTTAACCAACGTTTCAGAGGTCAGGGCCCTGATGACGGAGGCAGTATGACCTCTGAAACGTTGGTTAACATCGACCAGACTACACAGCGCAACAACCCAGAAGACAGAAATCTTCTTACTCACCCCTGTGAAAACCTCAAATTTATGATACTAATTCCTCTATGCTTTGTTTACAGTATTTATCTACTCCATGCCTGGCTATTCGTGCTCGGTCAAAGAACGAATGCTGTATTCAAGCTGCAAGGCTCCTCTTCTAGAGTCCATTGAAACACAAATTGGCCTACCAATAATAAAGAAGGTAGAGTATATAATCATATGTGCAAAAAAAAGTATATTTCAATAGTATTGATAATCAGTTGAAAAATATTATTAAAATTTTCAGGTAATCCCTATAAACTTAGCGCCTTTATTTTCCTGCCCAAGGCGTGTATAAATAAAACATGACGAAACAAAGTATGTATCCTGATAGACAACAAATGAGTAGCATTTAATGTATTGTTATTTGTATGTGTTTACACATGTAACAGTGACCGTAGTCCTGTTTCTAGCTTTAAAATAATGATTCTGAATGACACCGCTTTCTTCAGAAGGTGAAATTAGAGTCAGAGTTTAAAAATGCATTGAACATATGGCATGAGCAGTGTCCAAACAGCCCAGTAGACTTAGTCCCATTATGCAGGATGATTTGAAATGGCAGATAAAATATTGCCTTGAGTTACATTAAGTGCCCGTCTCCCTCAGTGGACTAGTGGTTAGAGTGCTCACCACTGGACCGAAGGTTCACGGATTCAATCCTAGCAGAGGTAGATGAATTTTTAAGGGTGATAAAAATCCATAGCACAACTTCCTTCGGAGGGGAAGTAAAGCCGGTATATACATGGCACACCAATTTTATAGTTGGGGAAAATATGCATTTTATGTAGCGGTGAGTCATGTTGGTAATAACTGTTTTATTTCTGTTTAATTTCACTCCACTGTCTCCACTGTTACTTTCAGTTGGCACTATGTACAATTTAATTTTATAGTTGGAAATTGACTGTGGTGAAGAGATAACAGAAGCATTTCTTCAAGATGAAATTCATCCCAAGAAGAATCTCCACCGTCCGAAATTTGCGAAGCCTAAAGGACCACCAAACAGAGGAGCCAAGCGCCTCACAAGACCCCAAGAAAGTTCAGGAAATGTGTAGTCAATAATGAATGAATGTTTTAACTTTAGTAAACATTAAGAAATAAAGGAGATAAAAGAAAATTGAAGTACATTTGACGCCTAAGACAAACCGTCACAACTTAGTGTGATTTGAGTTTTACAAATTATATAAATAAAACAATTGCTCCAAACACAAATTACATATAAATTTATTTTACTATGATATTTGCAGTGTTGGACTTCCCATCAAATAGAACAGAAGCAACACTCGTCAGAGAATAAAATTATTGTATTTACCTGTGTATATGCTACCCTCACATATTGTTTCCATCCAGATTTCATTATAGAAATATATTTCTGTTTAGCCTTCTGCAAAAGATGTGGCACATTTTTATTAAGATACAAATTAATTACTGCACTTCCACTGAAAATGAACAATAAGAAGTATGATTGGAAGTTATCACGTTGATATGAGTATGGACAGCAGTGCAATCTTTTGACTGTATATCAGTGTTTCAGAGGTACTTAATACCTCTATCTTCAGGGCAGAAGTCAGTAGCATTAGGAAGAGAATGGTTTATGAGTTTACAACGAGGTATCTGGCCATGTGGATTGGCTGTCAGAGCCATCTGATGAGAAGGGAAGATCAAGCTGTTTCAGGGAACCAGAGGGAAAGTAAGAAGACAATTAATTTTTGTTCTCGGAGAGAATTTGATCCCATTGAAAAACTTACTAGGGGTTGTTGCCAGTGTAACAAGACATTCTTATTGTTTATATCTATTTTCTACTTCCATTTTTATGAAAGTGTTCACTTCATCACATTTGTTATATTTATCTCATGTAAACACCTTGTATTTGTTGTGAAAACTAACCGTGTAGGCCTAAAATGTTCTGAAATGGTTCATTCTAAAAATTGTAAGACAAAATATTATACAAAACTTTAGATATTCTATTCTATTTCTGTTAAAAAAAAAATTTGCATCATACTCAATTTCTGCAACTGTTTATGGCTGCAACATTTATAGTACAAATAACAAGCCGTCTGTTGTCATACTTACAGTAAGATATTTTGGACTGCAAATTTGGATTATAAAGTGTAACATATACACAGGTAAAGACATGGAGGAATTTTATATATATATATATATATATAAAACTAAATTTTTTGTTACTAGTTACTTCAAAATTCTTGTAATGGAAAATATAGTGTATGAAAATTATAGTTGTCTTAAAACTTGTAATGATTATGTGCTGTGAAGCTCCTTTATTTCCAAGTACTATTATAATCACACACTAGAAACATCCAAATGTGACTATAAAAATAAAAACTAGTCAAACTAGTTCTGTTATGTATGCTTGAGGATGCTTGGAAAACTGTACAGTTGTATTCTTATATATAACAGAAAAACCCAACAGGCCTAAATACTACTGATCGCCCGCAAGATGTCGGTTGCAGGGAATGCTGTCACATGGGGCAGTGCTAGTTCAGTAACGAGAACAAGGACGGAAGGATGTGAGAACTTGAAAATGCTACGCAAGCAAAGCAGCATTTCTGTTTCAACTCATCTGACAAGGAACTACTATCGCTGCACACAGAATTGATTTTCCCTACTGTGTTTCTAATTCACTCCGTAACTTCCGACAAATTAGCAGTCAGCAGTAAACATAAATCTTGTGTCATAACAAAATCTGTTACTCCGTTGTACTATAGCCACACTTGCCAGAAATTACGAAAAGTTCTGTTAATGTCAGTTTTACAATTCCTTTTCTTCCATTATAAACATTACATGAATGAATTATTAAAATGGTTGTTGAGGGATGACCTTTTAAATAGATTCAATAAATTATCCAAATAACCTTTACCTGTAAAGAAGGAAAAAAGTAGTTTTAATTATAAATACATGCACGTACTGCAGCACTTTCATTCAAAATCATATGATAGCAGATTTGTACGAAACCATACAGAATATCAGACTTTATTTTAGCCCATATTGTACACCGTATTTTCTGACGTACAAAATGCAAAATGATTCAATATTTACTCATAATGGTGGGGAACACATATCAGTAGAGCACAAGAAAATATTACTAAATATTAATACTTACTTAATATTTCAGTAAAGTATTATTTTTTGCTCTGTTATAGATTTGCATCATCTCTTCTCACAGCACACTGAAATAACAAAATAAATAATGGTCCTTATTTTGACTTTCCACATTTTGTGAATTTACTTACATCACAATCCTTAAGCATAAAATACACAGGGTACTTTCTGGAGGCATTTGTTAAGTGAAAAATGTGTCTTATCCTATCAAATAAGGACTATGCTTCACTTTAGCCCCTTTTATGCATTGTGGGAAAATTATATGTAAGCATAATTTATATTTAAAAACTAGATTCCATGTAGTTATACGCTGCAAAACTTTCTAAAGTGGCTTCTTTTTCATTACAGCACATATTTAAATTTAGTTTTCAGCACAAGATGAACAAAAGTGTGTTTACATATTTGAATAAACCCATTTTATGTGTAACGACTCTGTAGGTTACAGTTTTTTTTTAACATCTTCTGTCCTTCCTTATTGTGCTTGAATATTTTATTTGTCTCAGTTGAGCTTATCTGCGTGTGAGTAAAACTGACAGTGTAAAGTAAATGATACAATATTTGTCTGTTCCTAAATGTTTCTCCCTTCACGAATATTTAAATGTGATGGAACATAACTTCCTCCATCACTCCATCTCAGAGGAGTTCACTGTGGCTTTTATTACATTTTTCACAAACCAATAATCAATTCCTAACCTAAATTATATAAAAAAATTGCACTTCATATAATTTCTGCCATATTACCATATTTAGATTAGCTATAGTTCTACCAGCAGATTATTACAAAAAATGAGAAGACTGCTTCTAATTAGTGTGTGATATATACTTATATTCACTGTAAAATGTATCTAGGATTTTAGATTACTTGTATTTGTACATGAAATGTAATTTTGGGGACAAAATATGGAATTTATACTGATATTTGTACTGTTGTCTTGTCATTACTACTAGTATACATACAAAAGTGTTTTATTATAATCTGGACTATGTAATGGCTTCCAATTTTTATCTGAATGCATCGGTATTTCAAAGACAATATAGCTATTGTTTAGACTTTAGTGTACTATTACAAGTTTTGACAGTTGCAAGAATCAGAACAAGAAGCAATTCAATTGTCAAAATTACTGTTGGGAGGTGGGATTAATATTGTGTAATATTTGTGCAGTTACAAAATTTAATGTATCTGCCAGCTGTTTTAACATAAAAGTATGCATGTGTGATTTTATGCAGCAATTTTTATGTGAAATTTTAGGCCTATGAAGTGTGAGTTTAATATGCTTGTGAAGTGTCTATAAATAAGTGAATTAATTGGATAGGAAAGTACAAGAGAGAATATGAGTAATATATAAAAACTTATCTTGTTTTTCAATTCAGACTGCAATATTTCTGCTTTCTGTTAAATTTCAAACTAAAACTACCGAGTCTCCATCACACAATAATAGCCTCAATTTGACAGGGACCTCCAGTTACTGAACTGTTTTTAAAATGAACCCCTCTATGTAATTAATCTAAAGGAAAATACCTATTTCAGTTTAACACAGTGAATTCTTTTCATATGAAGAAACATTTTCTGAAGATAAAGGACAGTGGTCAAGTTTTACATATTTTTTTATTTCCAGTGACTAGATGTCATACGCATAGCACATGTCAAAATACTAGAATAGCATGCTGGTTTGGAAAAAGCAAAATTACATTTATCAAGACAGATCATATGTAACGTAACTCTTACCCTTCAACTGTTGAAGATACTTCATTGTTAATTTTATATGTGAACTGTACATTTTAACTCGAGCGTCAAGTTCTGGAAACTTCAGTAAAGATATTAATTTGTGACTTTTGTAGTTAGAAGAATTTTTGTTTTATAAGCATAAGCAATAGGGCATATAATATGGATGCTGTTAGTATTACGGCAATGGTAAATGCTTCCTTCATTTGTTTTCCAGCTGTACATTTGAGATGTGACAAAGTTCCAGTATTAAAGCAATAAAACATTTTATTTAAAACTAATTACGTTTTGTGGCTGCCTTCAAATCAACCTCCTTGAGAGTGTGTATTTGCTTGTGAACAGTGCTACAAAGAATCTTACAAGTCATTTCCTAATAAGTCAATTAGCTTATTGGGCACAGCTCTCCGGATCTCTTATATTTATGTAAAATAAGTTCCTCTCATTGCAACCTGCTTGGTAGAAGAACGTCACTTCATATTCCACTAATATAATATTATGATGACTGTGTAGTCGGAGAGGGAGAAACTGCATCCAGTGATTCAAGATTCTTTCCAGAAGGTCCAATTTTTTTGTCGTGATTGGTAAAAAGAGGATTCTCTTTATTATCATCCCCACTTCGTATAAATTGTCTGAAATTAGAATTAACAATAAAGTTAAGCTTGCTGATAACCACACATTATGAAAAATTCAAAATGTCAATCATTACTAGCAATAATATGTATAATTTCTGGTTAATTTTGTCTGAATTCAATATTTAATTGTTACGTACTTATATCTGTCTTCTTTCCACTGATACTGCCAATATCGAATCTCCTCCATAGTTAGTCCAGTCATTTTCAAAACACTCAAAGATACAAGTCCACATATTCCTCCTAGAACACTACCTGAAACATAAAATATTTTCTATGAATTATTCAACTGTAAATACTTTAGAGCAGTGGTATTCAACCTTTTTTGTTCGCGTACCTCCAGATATAATTTCTCTTCAACTTTGTACCCCCAAAGTTGTTGGTGTATGATTCAAGTTATACATAGTATATAATCTACATCTAAAATAAATTAAATTGCATTACTGATTAATTACTCAGTGTTTATCATAAAATAATATTTTTTTTTAAATTTCACGTACCCCCTAAGATGTCTTCGCGTACCCCAGGTTGAATACCACTGTTTTAGAGAATTACTCTTTGCAGAAAAAAATGCTGAAAGCTAGTACAAATCAAATCAGAATGATTTTCACATCCCTATTTTTGTATTAAATATTCTATGTGGGTTCCATCACTAATTTCAGGCTGCGGATGGAGACGTCCTCCGGACATGGAGGGTAACTTGCAGATAAGATGAATGAGCATTCAGTATCAACAAATTATCAACAAAACAAGGCACTTCGTCAAGAATTAGGAGTCAGAGGTGGAAACTGCAGTTATGAAATACACACACGTCACAGAATATGCCTCTGTAAATTGAATGTGTATAATTTTGCCTGTTGTTTTGTATGGGTGCGAAAGATGGTCTCTCACTCAGAGGGAGGAACACAGATTGCAGGTGTTTGAGAATAGGGTGTTGAGGAGGATATTTGGGCCTAGGAGAGAAGACGATGGGGCATGGAGAAAACTGCATAATGATGAGCTTAAAAATCTGTACTGCTCCCCCAGTATTGAAAGGGTGATTAAATCGAGAAGAATGAGATGGGCTGGGCATGTAGCACGAATGGATGGGACAAGAGGTGTTCACCAGGTATTTGTTGGGAAGCCTGAGGGGAAGAGACCGCTGGAGAGACCTAGACGTAGATGGGAGGATAATGTCAGGCGGGATTTATGGGAGATAGGAGTTGAAGGAGACTGGATTTTGTTGGCCCAGGACAGGGACCGGTGGAGGGCTTTGGTTAATTCGGTGATGAACCTTCGGGTTTGGTAAGCCATCTAGTTAGTTAGTTAGTTGGTTAGTTAGAAATACAAACAGGAAAGTTTTAAAATCCACTCAGGCAATCAGCATAACAGAACTTAATTTGACTCTAAGGCTGGGCGCAGACCAATGTAGCAAAGTCATAATATAGAAACAGATTAGAAAACTGAAGACATGTCTCAGTACCTAGACCACCTCCAACCGCCATTCCTCTCAGACCCATGTTGCACTTGTAGAGTGCCCCTGTAACACCACCTGCAGCAATATACTCCACAATGCTTGAATGTCCTCTATACACCGATACTGATGTAGTCAACAATCTGTTAAAGAAATCAGCAATAAACACCAAAGCACTTGTTATTGGCATGGCACACTAATGTTTTTGAAGAATTAGACCTCATAATTCTACATTTTCTACTTTCTAATATTAACACACTTAGTATGAAACATTTCATGCTATAACAAATCAATGAAGAGGTGAAGTATGTAACACCATGCCAAAATAACAAAACAATAAAAAAATTCCAGATTTTATAATTTTCCGTGTATTACAGTGCAGGAAACCAAAATAAAAATGTTCCACAAATAATTTTATTATGTTAATTTTGGTATTCTGGGCTGTAATGCCATATGAACTTGCAGCTAGATGCCACTTCAGCCCTGAATATGGAGGCAGTATGTTCCTCTGAAATACCGAAATCCACCTCGAGGTCTGCATGACATTACAACAGAGGTAAGATTCACACCAAAGCAATGGGCAATAAGCAATACACAATAAGTGATATATCATCTGTACATTTACACACATCAAGATATCATCTGGCATAAAGTGTTCTAACATTTAAACAGTTCAAAATTAAATCATATTATTGCCAAATATCAAACTAAGAAAATTGTAATAGTACAAATTAGTAAATTTTCTTTCTATATTTCCCATTGCACTTGAGTCAGTCAATGTGAGATTGTTCCATTCAACAGAGTCACAATCTAGCTTGACCTAAATAAAGCATTCATTATATGCTTATTGACATTATTGTTGTATATTGTTGTATTCACTTTTTGAGATATTCACTACTGGAGGTTAGGTTTAATGATACTTACACGTAAGAACTAGTAAATAGACCCAACCGCCAACCCCACCTGAAAGCTCCTTTACTAAACCCAATTGTCACTTGATCTTGAAGTTTTTTCTATAAAATAAATATATATACACACACATAAATAAGCACTGTTCATCTCCCAGCAATTCACAACCATCTTTTAACCCACAACACCATACAAGACTCAGACAGTTCGCTATTACATGTAAAGTATCTGAACTAATTTTCCCAGTCACACTGTGCTACCCTTTGGGACCTATCATACACTCCAGTGTAATAACTACAAATTTTTCCAGCAGCATATAAGGAAACTATACATCTAACCAACCTGTCAGGTCCATGAATTCATTACTTATTTTTCACCTCTTAATTTCATCTAATACAGATTACATCTATTTCAATATTTATCCAGAATGTGTTTACTTCCTCCACAATCAGATTTTTTCATGTACCTTAGCTTCCAGATGATTCTTGAACACAGTTGCTTCATTTCTTTCTATGAAATCTGTATATGCATTCTTTGAATTAATGATACCGCCATAGCAAGCACCAATAAATATCCCCATGATACCAGACTGAATTGCAGCATTTAGTTCAGGACTCAAATTGCCAAACTCACTGCAAGGAAAATTACAACTTTACAAAACACACTAACAAAAGGCAGGTCATGATAACTTGTTCCTAAATAATATCCCAAAGCATTTAAAAGAAGAGCCACGTAATAAAGTACCAAGAAATAATTTGAAATTATTCTTCACATTGCATTGTACCTTAAATATATTTTTAAATAAATGCCCACTTCTTTTACAGCAAGAAGCTACAAATATGGTTGTCTTATGTTTTAGTAGGCAATTCTCTTTTCTTTAACAACTGTTTACACAAGACAAATCAAACCTTTAATCCTATAACCAAACTTGACAGAGCACATATTGTATCCACTGTTCAAGTAACTCTAAATGCAATATAGATTCGGAGGATGCAATGTATGGTCACCATATGAAACTGTTCACAAATTAAACTGGAATCATATCACATAAATTAAAAGATTTATAAACCATAACCTAAAAATAATTCCCTAGAGCTTCAGTACATCAATTACTAGGCATGTAGAATCTTTCTCACTTAACAACTACTTCTGTATACGTTATCTCATACGACTAAGTTATAAAAACTTACTCTGATGAATACATTAAACGAAGTCTCTCCCAACCCGTCTCATTTTCAATATTACGCCGGTAAAAAGATTGTGATGTATCTGAGTCAACTTTGTCATTGTTTTCCGTTAACCAGCTTAATGACAACATACCGCAGAAATACCACGGTTTCTTTCCAGCTCCGCGTAACATTCTATTATTTCCTTATGTATCTTACATAATTCTTCACAACATAATTATCTGTCCATCACCACCACAAATCGATCACAGGTAATCTACAGAAAAACTATTGCTACAGATGACATGCCAAGGTCTACGTTATAGTCGTTATCGGCACGGAGCAATTTATTCAAGGACGTTAGAACTAGAACGTTCAGAACTTAAATAAATACTCTTATCTTTAGTTCTTTCCCGGCAGTGTTTACGGATTATGCTGTAGTCATCTTTTAAAACAAGATTATTCCTTTATGTGGCTAGAGGAAGACTAACTGCATTGTGGTTACTAAGAATTCTTGTCACAAATGAATTCGTGTGTAGTTTTTATATTTATTGTACTGTTATGGACTGTAGGTTGCCATATGAAGAAAATTCCAAGGATAGGTACTGTTTAATACCACATGAACTCTTACTAAGTTTATGACTACAACTAGCAAAGTACCCGTTGAAATGCAACGGGAAATCGGGCATGAACGTAACCATTGTTTTTTTACAGATTTGAGAACATGTTTTGAGCATGAACCTTTACGACGGTATTCACGTATCAAGTTTTTTATGTATTAATTCCGTGTAAAAACTGTAAACATATTATCCTCCACCATAAAATCTTTCTCATTCCTGTAACACAGATGTTCCCAAAGTGTGGTCCATGAGCTTTATCACATGGCTTGCAGTGCAACTGGTTAACAAAACAAAACATCTAAATTTACAAAAGAGTAGCACAGTAATGTAAAGAACAACAGACATAAAAATCATTATGTGGTCCACCAAGTTGCTCAGAAATTTTCAAGGGATCCAGTAAAAGTAAATGGTTTGGAACTACTGCTATAACAGTTCATAAGCTTTCATTATGAAATTGAAAATATGAGTCAGTGGCATGACTACAATATTATCATAAGTCATGATGAAAATATCTCCTTACTGTGTTGTAGTCTTACATCATTTGGAAACTCTACGTTGGCTAGCTATATTGCAAAGTATTAAGAATTCAAAAAGTATGGGATCATAGTTAGATGGGACAGAGGAGACAAATTGATGTAGAATTTTGGACAGTAAATCTCTTGGAAACCAGTGGTGAAATTGAGACAGTGGTATCAGGTTAAAGTTAAGTATATGCTAATCCTTTTAAACCAAAGCTTATGCAAATAATATGTGAACATTCAGTCTGTACCTCAAAGAAAACATAACCCATCTCCATTATGCAGAAAAACTGGTTAATTCTGTTTAGGAAAATAATCACTCTTTACTATGGGAATCAGAATGGAAATTTCTTTATAGATCTACAACAGTTGCAAGAAACTCAGCTAGCCATGAACACAGTGCAACTGCATATGCTAAGATACAGAGCTGAAATTTAAATCTTGATTTTTCAGCTGTTGTTGGTGGTGGTATTGGAGGAACATCAGCCAGCTATTTTCTTCGTGAACTGTTTGGTCCAAATGGTGTCCACATTGATTTATTTGAGCCAAACAGAATTGGTGGAAGATTATCGGTGATTGACGTCAATGGTCGAGACTATGAAGTTGGTGGTTCAATAATTCATCCAAGGAACAAATACATGGTTGACTTCCTCAAACTTTTTGGTGAGTTACAACTTTCAGATAGTGATGGTTTTCTGAACTGTCCAATGATAAATGTATTTTTATTTCTGATTTATGTCATTTTTACTTGCATATTTCAATGAAGTATATAATGAATGCTGAGCTATCATCACTTTTTGCTTGTGTTTGGGTGTTGTCTCTCTTTCTCCTTCTCCTGATCTGAAATTTCATCATCTTTTTCAGGACTAAAGAAAAGGCAATCTAGAAATTCTAGATTAGGCCTCTATAATGGACGGGAGTTTGTATTTACCGAGAGCAACTGGGGAATAATAACCCTTGCTAAGATGGTATGGAGATATGGTTATGGTACAGTGAAATTGCAGAACTATATTGGAGACATGCTTAAGAAATTTGAGAGGCAAGTTCAGCATCTGTCTTGTGTTGTGTCAGAATTACTGTAACTCAGTCTAATAAAATGACACACATTACTTTATATGATAGGTAATACTCATGATTCTGAAAATAAGCATTACAATAACTTGCATGTAGAGACAATTAATAGGTGTTGTAAATATTTATATCATACTCTTATAGATATTTCTTGTTCTTATTTATATATTATCTCAGCTCATTTCATCAGTGATTAATTGTTTTCACAACTTCTTTGAAATTGTTGATTGTATGGAGGAGTGAAAAATACATGAACTGTAATTAGCAAATTTTATTTAAAACCTTCACAAATTTCTGGCCAGAGTACTATACTTATTTTCAAAGTGTGCATTCTCTAATGTTACTTTCTGTATCTTGGATATAACACTTAAGAGAAGCACACACATTTCTACACTTGAACTTTTCATTAAGCTTCATATTTGAGCTTAAATTTTGTTTTATATACAATTCATTAACTTCACTTTGATCTGCCATAAAATGTAATAACCTTAGTATCTACAACCCCGAATAATATGTGACTGACATCCGGCAACAGTTTGTTGGACATAAGAAGTATTTGTTCTTTCCAATGCTTATCAGTCACCAGTAAATTTATTTATAGTTCAGACATGTACAATTGAGCTCTTTCTTTCTTTATAATTTCAGGATTTATACACTTCAAGCAAATGGAAAATCATTCTCATCAGTGTTAGACTTACTGAATGCAATGAGTCCTCAGTTTGTAGATTATATGCATGTATCAACAAAGGATGGCTTGAAACAGAATGGTTTTTCAGAAAAGATTATTGATGAACTAGTCACTGCGACGCTTACAGCCAACTATGGACAATCAACAAGTGTTCATGAGTTTGTTGGTAAGTCAGATTTGATCAAAGGTTGTAGATTTATAAGTGGGTACTTGTGGGTTATCGGGACACATCGCTTTAAAAATAGGTTAGGTGAGGTTAAGTTATGTTAGGTTAGGTTAATGTGTGTGGACAACAATAAATAACTGAATGAAGTAACAGATAACAACAACCCTAACCTAACCGAAACTAACCTATTTTTAAAGCGATGTGTCCCAATAACCGACAAGTACCTAAAAGTGTTTTTCTCTTTCTTGTTTAACGTATGTTGTCAGAATATTCAAGAAATTACGACAACAACACTTAATACTCTCCTAAACCATTTTGTGTAATGAGAACCAGTTTCCCAGTGGTAAATTTTAATGTTCTGTATGCCCCGATGACGGAGGCAGTATGACCTCTGAAACTATGATGAACATCTACCATACTGCATGGCCCAACAACCCTTAAGACAGCCATCTTCATCTTCAGGTAACTGCATAGACAGACAATGAAGATGGACCTTTTGCCTGGTAAAATAAATACTGACATACGGTAAATGAGTCTGTAATGCATGAATTTACAAATATTGTTGTGTAGAGATGGTTATTTAATATTGACAACAAAACAGCTCATGGTACTTGTGGGTTATTGGGACACATCGCTTTAAAAATAGTTAGGTTAGGTTACCTTAGGTTAGGTTAGGTTAATGTGTGTGGATAAATGACATATACTTGAAAATTATTATATTTTATATGCATGCACAGTTTACCATGCCAATCCAACTCCAGATATTTGACTCATCCATTTTGTACCAAGCTTATTTTCAGTGTTGAAGTACACTGTTAATTATTTTTTATCAGTTTATTCTGATAGTGTTTTTTTTTTCTTTAGAAGAGGGTGAGAATGAATATTATCAATGAGTTAGTGAAATTTTAAAAACATCAGTGTCAACCAAATTGTATCTAACATGAAAGTATTAAATGGTTTCACATAAACTTAAGAATAACACAAAGTAATTTTTGTTTAGGTTCAGTTTCTGTAGCAGGGGCTGATGGTGGGCTTTGGGCAGTACATGGTGGAAACAAAATTGTGACGGAGATGCTTCTGGAACAATCTGACGCTACACTGATCAATGCTAGAGTAACGAATGTAACCTTACGACCAGAAACTGAAGATTTTGTAGTAGACTCTGTGCATGGTAAAAATTATACTTCATCACTGTATGATATTGTGATAATAGCTACACCTCTCACTGAAGATACACAAGCAAACATTAAATTTACAAATTTTCCAAAGATCTTAAAATTTCCTGGTATATATCATAGAACAGTTTGTACTATAGTTCATGGAAAACTGAATGTTACTTATTTTGGTTTTGAAAATGAAAAAGATGCTGTAGAGGAAATCTTAACTGTAAAACAAGACTTGTTGTTCAGTTCTATAGGAAGATTAAATCCAGTAGATTACAAACCTAATGAAGGAGTTTTTGATGTGTGGAAAGTATTTTCACAGAAACCATTAACAGAAGAACAGCTAAATAACTTGTTTTTGCATGAAAGGGATGTAAAAGTTATTGACTGGTTAGCTTACCCACAATATCATACAAAACAAAGAAATGATGAATTCATTCTACATAAAAATTTATTTCATATTAATGCTATTGAATGGGCAGCTAGCGCCATGGAAATGAGTGTTGTTGGTGCAAAAAATGTATGTTTATTATCTTATAAAGCATGGACTGGAATAGAAGAAACAGAAAAAACAGAAAGTGTGAAGGAAGAATTATGAAGTTTTCACAACAGCAGAAAAGTGATAACTAAAAGTATTTTTATGGCTTTAGAATAAGTTATGAAACCTCCAAGTTCAACAGAAATTTTACGGTCAATTTAAATGATTCATTTATGTGAGAGGAAGGATAACATCCGTATTAGTATAAAAAAATATGATTACCGTCTGGATATTGCTGACAGAAAATATTCGTCTAAGAACAATTTCCACAGTCATGTTAGCATGATGGTACTGATGTATGCCTAGCCGTATTAGTTGAAACATCTGTCTAGGAGTGTTCCTCAACCTTTTTACTTCAACAGCGCATCCTAATTTGTCAAAGATATAAAATTGGGGTATGAAACTATACATAAATATGTATCAACATACAAATACTTGCCCTATAAGAATGAAAGCATATGAAAGAATATTACACATGTTGAACAAAACTATCAATGATGAAAGTCTGTGTGTGTGTGTGTCTGTATTAAAAATTAAACTATGAAAGATAATATATTGCAACTTTCCAACTTTTTTTACGTAAATATGTCTATACGGAAGTGTCATTCGGCAAAAAAGCGTAATGAAGTTGTGTAAGATCCATAAAACCAAACCAACCAAAAAGCTAACTGAGGGCGGAGGCCTGCGCAAGCGCAAGCATCGTCCCTACCTAGGTGAAACCATTCCTGCGCACAAGGCGCATTGCTGGAAATGGTAAACAGTCTTAATATAAGAAACGGAAATTTTGCTATCGCTAACAGGGTTAATGGTCAGCTTTTATATGAACTCCTGCATGCATTGTTATGTTACCTAAGAAACTAATTGTTGCATCATCTGTTTACTTAGCATCGTTGTGTTACATTACTGCCTTCAACAATCCGCTTTCATTATTGCGGAAAGAGCTGAGCTGTGAATTGCTTGTAGAAGAAGTGTGTCGTAGACTAGATAATTTTGTTCTGGTAAAAACGTTTTAGAATATCACAAGTACTTATCTTATATAAGAATTATTACATTTAATTACATTATAGAGACATATTTACACCAGATTCTCCGGAACCGAGGTTCCACTGTCAACTTTTTGTGCAAATAAGCAATTTCTTACAGATTTGCAGCACACTGATTGTGGAACAATGATGTAGGAGGTAAGTACTGAAAGCAGCCACAAATACTGATGTATAAAGTGAAGCAATCGTGTCAACTGAAGTTGATGAAAGTCTCTCAGGTTACAAGCTGCATCATGTGGCTTTTAACCCGAGAGTCTTTCATCAGCCACAGATACTGTGTCAACACAGTGATCATTTTGACTATAACCATCATACTACACATAACTTAAAAGTAAATCTTTAGAAAGATGGTCACATAAGGTGAAGTCATTTTAACTTCATCCTCCTCCAGTTCTATACCTGCATTGGAAAACCAAATTGCAACAGAAAATTGTGGACCCTGGTATCCATTTGACAGAATGCTGAGTGGGCCCCAGAGTCAGTCTGGGTAGAGGATACATGAAAAATACTTTGCCCTATCGGGTATCGAACCGCAGTCGGTCACTACTGAGATAAAGTGTAAATATTAAATTGTCCTTTTTGTTGCAGTTGACAAACCATGGCCTTCCTTTACAGGCTGAGATATAATTTTGTTTACGTAGTCCGTAGCATAGTTGTCATTCACACCTGTCATCTGGAGTGTGAAACTGTCTCTATTTGCACAACCCATGGTGAAAATCATGCATTCCCATATCTGCCGTTATACATCTCTGTCTGTCATTGTTTTTATGAGGTCCAAAGATATTAGAAAGGTCGGCATTACGAAAGATTTGGAAGGTTACATACGACTGTAATTAATTAGTGTTGCGAGAAATTGGGAAATCTTGCAGAATCTTGATAGTAGCTAAGTAAGTGCTTCCATCTGTATAGAACACATTGGTTTTAATGCCTGTGGCTACGTGTCCGTTCTACAACTGTTTGTTATCTACACTTGAAATGATGTGCTTGTTCATTTGTGGGTAGCAGATGGTGCAAGTGGTGGAGTGGGCTGAAGCATAGATAAACCACCGAAATGTTTGTTTTAGTTTTCACTGTAGGCCTCTGTGCTTAGAATGGACGACTGTAGAAACTGAGTGGTTGAAATGTACGTAATTTGAGCATGTAATTTTAAATGGCGGCAGGTTAATTTACGTCGTAAAAATTCAATGAATTGTCCGTCTTCCTTGACTTGTTTTATGCGAAGGTTTAATATGTATAATATGACTTACAGGATTTGGACCTCGAAAGCCTTAAGGATTATTTAATTTATTTGTCAGTTAGTTTTGGATGTTTGGGACAGTAAAGAATTGTAACAACGTGGCATTGCCTGCTCTCAGTCCATTTTTTAGTAAATAGAAACCAGTGACAGAACAGGACTTAATGATCAATTTAGGATTGATATATTTTTAATAATAAGTATATTTAACAAGTGTTTGTGCAGGAGGATTTTTGTTTATACTCGCCCATGAGTTTTGTGTGGTACAGGTTTTATTTGTAAAGATTTGAGGTTTTCACATCGGTGAGTATTAAGATTCCTGTCTTCTGGGTTGTTGCACTGTGTAGTCTGGTTGATGTTAGCCAACGTATTGCCTCCGTCATCAGGGATGACCTCTGAAACGCTGGCTAACAACAACCAGACTACACAGTGCAACAACCCAGAGGACAGGAATCTTCAGGTTTTATTTATTTGTGCGTGAAATTATGCATTTTTTCAGTATTATCTATTTATATAATCAATACTGTACATGATATGTAGGATGCTTGTCTTGCATGTAATTAATAACCGTTAATAAAAATCATAATTGCTAGAAAGTTAGTAATAATACATGGGGTCCCACATAATTTGGAACCCACCTACTAGCATGCTGTAGCTATGTTCTTTATTGTGAGCAGCTCATTTCTTGGTAGTTTGCTCACTGTGCTGCAGCATTTTCACATCACATGTTACATGTGTGTGATATTTTCTTTGTGGTACAGACAGAATTCTTAAATATTAAACTTTGGTTTTAAAGGATTATCAGCTGCATACCATTCTTGCTCATAGCACTTTACAGTAACCTATATTTTTCATGTATGTTAGTGATTATATGTGCTATTATCCCTACTTTGTTTCAATAAAAGTTTTATCAGACTGTCCTTGTACATACTTCCAGGGTCAGTTTATAGATGAAGCATTGGCTGATTGAGCCATTATGCATATATTAATTAACTCCATTACATGGAGTTCTTTATGAGAAGCTAGTAGTCTAGGAATTCCTTACCGTTTATGGAACCCAGAGTTTCAAAAAGAAGAGATTGTGACTCGCAGGTAGTGTGCTAATATCATATTAGTATAATATGTTTACAGATGTTATTTTCTTTTGTAGGTACTTGTAATTAAGAAGATTATGGCTGAGGAAGAAAAGATTACCTCATTTAAGGAGTACATTCCACATAAAGGTGTTCTACATCATGAAGATATTCCAGAGTACATTCTTTGCAAACCAAAATTGATGCCGCTAAAATCAGTGACACTTGAAAAATTAGAAAACATGCAGAAAGTAGCTGAGGAGAAATTGAAGAAACAGCAACAAAAGAATGAACAGAGGAGCTGAAGTAGTTTTGTTTTTAAAATATATTTTTTTTATTTATGAAACAAGAAAGTAACAGGAATATAGAATAGAAGTGAATCATGACATTGGGTCCACTTTTAACTGATGTGGTTGTTACATTCTGTTTGGCTGCTTGTCTGTTATACAAGTATGGAAACTGGCTAAAACACCATATCATCGTTACAGTTGCAGTTTTCATATCTTGGTACTTTTCATTTCTTATCATCTTTGTTCTACCACTGGATGTATCTTCGGTAAGTGCAAAAGTTATAGAATATTTTCACGCATTCTGTATAATATTTTGTTAACTAGAGAATTATATATATGTGTGTGTGTAACATGTTGTTAGTGTACGGAAATAAAATGTTACTCCGCTTAAATTACCCCATCATCTCTCTGTACTGTGAGTTAAGGTACAGGAGAACGTTTCTGTAGTAGATTCTAGAAACCTGTGTTCTGTGCCATCTGCTGATCATTTCCACAGCTGTATCTCATATTCTGAGAGGCTTAAATGTGCTTTATTTTCAGTGGGTACTGGGAGATTTTTGCCTTGGCAATGTGTTCTGAGCATGAGCTAACAATGTATCTCCATTTAATTCTGATGTTAAGAATGCTTTGCGCTTTACCCCAACCATATATGTCCTTATGACATAATGCTTAATCTTTATGCACTGTACATGATGGTTTGCATGTAAGTAAGCTGGTTGTACGTCTGGCTGGCTACCCTGTAGTATAAGGTGATTTTACGTCATTTATTTTAACAGCACCGCCACGGTGGTCTAGCGGTTAGAACGCTGGCCTTGTAATCCTGGGGTCTCGGGTTCGATTCCCGAATTTATAACTTGTGTTGGGCAAGGTCGTGGTCTAGGCAACACAATTTTCCTCCGGGGGCTTCCCCGGTTTCTCCGTGGCATCCCAACAATTACTCCATTCACACACAGAAGAAGGCAATGGCAAACCACTTCTGGATCATCTGCCAAGAACGTATATGAACAGGTCCCAGTCCGAGAAAAGGATGGAAGGATCCTGTTCATTCCTGTAAAGGAGACGGCGTAATAAAGAAGATTTTTAACAGTAGGTTTCTTATAGCAATGATAGAATCCAAGAAGTGGAAGACATCCTATTGTTTTGTACAGAACTTCAAAAGTTTCTTTAATCTGGGAATTTGTTGACACACTTAGATTCTTATGTTGTTTAGTCAGGCAAATCTTAGGTATAGAGGCACCTTGAATTTTAAATATCTTGAATATTTGTATGTTGGTTTTTTATTAGTTAATGTATAATTTTTTTACGTCTGTTTCTTGCAGACAGTATATCGTCAGTGCATGCAAGAAAGTCGGCTAGAATATTCTTCACATGTGAATTCGTCTGGTGTGTTATTTGGTCTGGGAATTGCATCTGTGGGTAATGAAAGTACAAACAACATCACACCTGTCCAATGTCAGGAGCCATGGAGCAATGTGCCTGAGAATGTTTTTCCAAATTTATGGCGTGTTGTATATTGGACGTCACAGTTTCTGACGTGGTAGGTATGGTAGCAAGTAGAGTTGAAAAATGATTGTGTATTTTTTTAATTATGAAAAGTATTTAAGAATATATTTGCATATTTGTGTATCTTCAGATGAAAATATACACAGGCATATAATTTACTTGACTTCTGGTTTATTTAATGTTACTGTCAGAATATTTTAATTAAATTAAATTAAAATTAAATCCGTGGCGTAACAGCTCCAGAGAGCCAAAGCCGAGTAGCTTGACTGCTGGCCTCACGTTCACATGCCTAAGCAGAGGTGAATGATATTTTAATGAATAATGAAAGGGATATGGAAGGAAGTGGTTGTAGCCTAATTGAAGGTACTATTTTGGCATTTTGGTGGAGGGCTCGAGGAGAACCGTGAAAAACCTTGCACATGGTAGATGGATTCTGTGCCATCATCTTAATCCAAGACATTCGAAATAAGAAGCAGGAGTGCTAAGTACTCAGGAGCCTCGTTTGGTCACACACAATATTTTGTATTTGGGGGCATTGGATCTGTTCATCCCCAAGTCATAATTAAAAGGCTAAATTTGTATGTGTAATTGTGCACTGTAACAAACAGAAACAGTCGGAAAGTGTTTGATTTATTTGACACCCATTTTATTCCTGAACATCTACGTAAGAAATTAATTTTTGCTAGTTTCACACAGTCTCTTTTTGTTCATTTAAAAGTAGATTATTGAAATGTCATAAAGAATACTGATGCCTAGTGGGATAAAGTTGCACGGAATTTCCGTGCTTTATTGTGTCTGGTATGAGTAGATAAATGGAATACATGAACACGGTTTACATTGATCAGAAATATTGGTTTTTACAGGCTTGTGTTACCTCTGATGCAATCTTACATAAAGGCTGGAGATTTCACCGTGCGTGGAAAGGTGAAGTCTGCTCTGATTGACAACGCCATTTACTATGGATCTTATCTCTTCATTTGTGGAATCCTTCTTATATATATTGCCTTGAAACCAGATCTTCACCTTGATGGGTAAGAATCAAATGAATAAAAAATAATAAAATAAAATAAGTCGGGTATTCAGTTGTCAAGAAAATTTTCAGAAATATTCTCTTGTATAGACTGAACTAGCGAAAGAATGATATGGAATTGCTTCTTGCTTTTCGGCAACGGAAGGTCACATTGAACATACTTTTGATGATCTTGTAAGTTAGTCTCATGACTTTCCCATTACTTTGCTTTGCCTCAAGAGAATTTTTGACTGTTAGAATTTTTTTTTACTGACATTACATGGTTCCAGTCATTCATGGAGCAGTGGCCATTATAATATCCCATTAAAATAATTAATTGTCCCCAATTAGTGATGAAAAAAAATTAGTATTAGCATTCATACAAAGTCTTGCCGCAAAGGGCGTCAAAAATTTTGAAATTATAATACCGAAAAAGAAATTAGTGTATTACAGAAGCCGTTATGCAATACAAAATAGAATAAATAAATTGGTGGGGGGAATCCACTTCTTGTTAATAGTTCAGTGCAATACAATGTATCTGTCATCACCGCCCCTTTCATTTTGATTATAATCATCAGCTAATTACAGGGATGTGCTGTGTAGCTAGAAACTTTTGGTCCTGAATTTCACCAGACAAGCAATTCCTTTCCGCTGCTATCTGAGAAACGACATGATTGAGCAATTCTTATCTTGTGTGAGATTATCAAAAACAGTTGTATCTGTCAGATTTTCTGGACTCTGTTTGGCCGAGGCTTTCAGTTTGTAACCTCCGTGCGTTGTATTTTTATATTTTAACTATATTCAACATACTTTACTGATTGACACAAACGATGGCAGTCGAGTTATGGATGCTTCTTTGCATCTACAGTCATGCTCTCATGAGCCGATCAGCTTCAGAGAGAGGTATAATTGTTTATTGGAAACATTTATAGTCTCTTTCTTTGTTTCTTCCTTCTTTCTGTGCCATTATCTTTTATTTGTATATATTTTCAACAGTAAAGTAATGTCGAATGAAGGGTTGTTTGGATTGCAGGCAGAAACTGAAGGCTATTGCGTCATCGGCCAGCAACACGTGGGGTCTGTTTCTTCTCGTCCTGCTCTTAGGCTATGCTTTGGTAGAAGTCCCACGCTCCCTGTGGAATTCTAGCAAACGTGGCTATGTTCTCAACTACAGCTACTTCAAGGCAGCCAAACTCAGCTCTGAAAAGTGCGAAGCAGAGGAGAGTGTTGACGATATTCTAGAGGTGATTTACGTCTAAAAATTAGCTAAAACTTGACCTACAGTAGATTCTGGTTAATTATTAATTAATCGGGGCAGCCGTTTATCTGGGACAAATTTTAAAGAACAAAACTTTTTAAATTGTTTACGTGTAACTTCACATAATTGGGCAGCTTCTTAATTAGACGAAAGTGTTCTTGTCGTGGTGTGTCCCAATTAATCGGAATCCACAGTGTACACAAACACATTTGCGTAAGTGCTCCACATGTACCATTTTTTACATTGATACAAAGAAGAGTTAAAATTTTCTCTTTGTAATATGAAAGTGATAATTTAGTAGCGAAGCCTGGAAGTAATAGAATTTTAAACTATTTACCTTTCTCAGAGGACTATAGTTTGTAGTTTGAACATCGTACATATTCCTGTGACTTATTTTTATCACTGTTTGTTTTCATTCTTTTAGTCTCTTCAGGCCGTGTCTGTGTCTGTTGGGCCAGGCCACCCCTTACATCGAAACTTGGAAACAATTTTCCAGAAAGTACCTCCTGAATTACGGGAACGAATGAATCGTCGTCAACTACCTGATGACACACCGAATGATGCTCCCTCAGACAAAGCACTTATACGACTTCACAAGCAGGTGATAACACATACACAATTTTTACTTTTTGCATTTATAAAGGATATTTTATGTATTACAAGCTTTAGCTGGGCTCGTTTTAAACTGATTTTCAAATGAACAAGCTGCTTATATATAATGTGTAACCTGGCAACAGAATTAAGAAACCAACACTGTAATTTTTAAAACATAGTTTACCATTGCATTCCATATCATCAGTTGATTAATTAAAGCTGTTAAGTGCAACACATTACTGTCAATTGTAAAGACATTTGTAATCAGATATTTAATTATTACCCAAAATGTTTCAGTTCTGTCATGCCTCACAGGTAGCAGATCTTAATTTCCTTAGAAAAACTATTGATTGCAATGTACATTAATGTTATCTAAATGTAAAATATTAGAAATTATAAATATAACAGTACAGTACAATACAATAATTTAGCAACATTTTTAAATACTTTGCCATGGCATTTCAATAAGTTGTTGTAATTTGCAATCTTATGCACCACGATTCAATAAGGATGAGTGTGGCCACCCTAGATCTGGAAAAAATTTAGAATCTCTTTAAGCAGTGTATAAATGCAAATATTTTTGTGTTGTGTGATCAATTTAGAAGTATCTAATATGGCACGCTTTATCTTTGTTTACAAAACGAATGTACTTTCTGATCATTAGTAATGTTACCTCAGTGATAATGTCATTATTTATTTTCTTATTAATATTTAACTTAGAATTAATGGCTATATTACAAAATATTTAACAAATTATCAAATTTAGATGTGGGAATTTGGTTCCTTCTTTTTCATTTTCATAAACTGTGTTACAAGTCATGAAAGTAGCCATGTGGTATCAGTATAAATGTGTATTCATAAATTATTGAAGTAAGGGCTAAAGTATTTGTGTTTTCTGTTTTGCAGGTTATTAAAGCCTTACAGACACAATACCGCACAGAAACACAATGGAGTCTTCTTGTGGATCGCATTGTGATGCTAGAAGATGTAGCTCGCAATCAAGTTAGCCATGATCACCGATACAAACCAACGTTCGAACCGCCGAGGCCACTTTGGCTTCGTTTTGTTTACAGTCCAACGATTGGTAATGTCAGCGTTTTTGTTTATAATAAATAATACAAGATTTTATTTATTTTACTGACACCACTTTGCTTGTTGAAAGTATCATATATTAAATACTTTCATCTTATTTTGCATAGCCACTTTGTGGATAGTGTTGATGAAAAAGAATTAAAAAGGGATGAATGTGGAGTGTCTACCAACAGTATGACATTCATACCAAGTTTTATCTGCAGGATATTTCAGTGAGGATTTGGAATTGCTCTGTCACCATGTGTTCAATTTCATGGGCAGCATGGTTTGGTAATGGGGTGATGGGTTATCTATCTATTAGTAGCTTAACCCAGTAATGGGTCATTGCCGCCTCCTTTCAGATGTGTCTTAGTCTTTGAAGCGTGCATTTATGCGTAGTGAGTGACAAGCTCACTGACTGCACAATTTCTACTCAATCCTGATTTGACTGCCAGAGCCATCTAGCAGTGAATCAGGAGAGACTTGGGTGAGAAATGGCCGCTGAATTTTGCTTATGAAACATCTCGTATCATGAAGATTTCTGTCTTCTGGGTTATTGCGCCGTGTAGTCTGGTCGATGTGAAGCATGACACAGTACTCATGACTGGGATGCTCTGGGTAGGTTTCTTTTGAACTGGGATACTGGGACGACCCGTTCTTCAAGCGCCTGAACTCTGCGGGTCCCAACTTTTTCGTTAGCTTGTTCTATAAACATTTTGGTAGGACAAGGGATCGGCCCATCGCAAGGCCTCTACCTGCACACAGGACAGCACGATACAGAAATATGAGGACAACCATCCATGGCTTGAGTGGGATTCGAACCATGATCCCAGCGGCACAAGGCCCGCGCCTCAGACCGCACGGCCACTGCGGACCCCCATATTTTGAACTCCTCTCTTTAATCAGTTTTGATCTTTCCATGCCATAATTATTCTAATATGCTGTGTCATATTCCAGAGTGGTACTGGAAGTGTGTGCTTCATGGTTATACACTCAAGTTGGCTGCTGTTGCAGCTGGGTTACTGTCAGCAGCTGTCGTCTGGTCAGAGGTAACCTTCTTCAATAAAGAGCCAGTTCTGTCGCTCTTTGCCCAGTTCCTGAGTCTTGCTAAAGTAAACTATGATTACTTTACCATAGAGGTAAGTGTAAGCATATACGCTGAACCTAATAAGAATATTAAATCATAATCCACGAGTGTATTATTTAATTTTGTGTATTCAAAACTTCAGTACAAAATTATTTAATATAAATGCATCAAAATCATCGAACAACTTCTGTGTAGGTAAGTATATATATGTGTTTGCCCAAATATAAGTCTTAGCTTTTCGTTCTTGGACATGTGAAAAGAATATTTTCTCATCAGTAATAGGACTTCGGTGATAGGCACTTTGGCTGTTTTGTGGCATTGTCTCTCGCTGCAATGTTGGTGAAGCATGTTTATAATATAGGAAGTTCTGTGTTGGCAGCGTTCAGGAGTGTTTTTCTGCAGTTGGCAGTGTCTGATGATCAAAATTTTAGTGCACATACATATTATGTCCACATTTATTCTTTTGAGAGCAAAATAAGTAGAATACTTGGATGACCATGTTGAAGAGAGAAATATTTGTATGTACTTTGGGGATTAAATATGATTGTTGGAGTTTGTAATATGCCCTGGAGAATAATTATTGTTGAACTTCAGAATATTATTGGGTGAATAAATGTTATTGGACACTGAAATATACACCATAAATAATTATTATTCTTTGTAGATCGCTCCTGCAAGATTTAAAAAGTATATGAGAAAAATATACATAAATTTAAAAGAAAAATAGCTTAATTTTACTTTTTTATTTTTTGCAGGTTTTGTCCACCATGATTATTGCATATATGTGTTACTGTGCATACTCAACTGTGCTAAAGATACGACTCCTGAATTTGTACTACTTAGCGCCCCATCATCAGACAGATGAATACTCACTGATTTTTTCTGGGATGATGCTGTGTCGTCTCACACCACCTATGTGTCTCAATTTTCTTGGCCTCATTCACATGGATAGCCACATTATCAAGCATCACATATGGGAAACACATTACACGCAGGTATGTGCTAGAATTATAGTGCATATAATTTTTTTAAAAAATTTGAGTTTGATCCTCTATGTCAGCTATTCTGAGTTGCCAACAGTAATTTTTTTTAAAAATTTAAGTTTGATACGCTATGTCAGCTATTCTGAGTTGCCAACATAAGTGAATTATCATTCATCCATATTATACCTCACATTATCTGCATTCATATTTGACGCTAACTGAAATGTATGAAAATATATTGAAATGTTTTATGCATTATATGTGATGGAGGGAAAGTGCCGCTGCTGAGAAGTGACACTCGTGTCGGCGATTGTCAGCAGAAGCTCTTACCTGTAAAGAGTCATTTAAATGATTGTGTCCCTCAAGAAATGATATATTCAGTTGCATGATGTGTAATCTCCTAAAAAGTGTTTGACACGAGGTAGGACTATTTTTCCGGTGCATGTATTTACCTCAAACCTGTAATCTATGAAAATAAGGATTTGTATATTTATTTCTAGTAGTTTTCACGGACATAAAAAAATATCAATGCATCAGAATTTTTTTTTTTCGCAAGCAATAGTTCTTCTGCTGGTGACATGCATCCTTTTATAATATAGGTTTCATTTTAGCCAAGTAAGCAAAATAAACCACAAAAATGAAATGGTATGGACCAAAAAATGGAATAGTTAATTGTCCTTTAAAGGTTAAATGTTTGTCTTACTTTTACAGGTTATGGGACACATGGATGTGATATCTATTGTGTCAGATGGCTTTAATGTGTATTTCCCCATGGCAATGCTAGCCTTCTGTGTGGCAACATATTTCAGCGTAGGATCGCGACTGCTCTCGGTGCTTGGGTTCCAGCAGTTCGTTGGCGATGACGAAGTGACGGCTGATCTTGTGGATGAAGGCCGGGAGCTTATCAAGAGAGGTTACAATTTTAGATCTGTTCTGTTCATAGTATATTAGCTCTTCATTGCGATATTTTAATTTTGTTTTTGTGTTTGACAGTGATTTAGAGGTATGGCTTTCGAAACTGTAAAAATTTCCAATATTTTTGTATTCTACAAAAGTATGTTGCCAATAAAAATTGCAAGGTTGAGATTATATTAAAAGCTCTTTGATGATGAGATATATTACAGTATTGAAGACTATATTTAATGTGCAGAAAAACGGCGTCGACAACGAGCAGAGGATTCTGTTAACCGACGCCGGGAGTTCCAAGATCGGTTTGGTGGGACAACCTCACGATACCGAACTGCACGACAGAAACCGGAAGACAGGGGTAAGGTTGAGAATCATTTCATGTTTATCTCGAATGTTATTTCACTTGAAACAAAACTCATGCGCAGTCACTGAAATAAGGTTACCTATTAGAAGCACAAATTTTAAAATTTGATCAAAATTTAATTTAGTAAAAGTGGCATGCAAAATTGTGAATCTTATGAATGATTTAGCATTATTTCTAAATATGTTGCAAAAGTTTAAAGGTCCCTGCTACTATTATGAATTCCTTAAGATTTGCTGGTTTGCATTAACTTCAAGTTCCATCCCAACAAGAAGTGACATGCCATAATTTACAGTTCGTCCTCTCCATCGTGATGATTCAACAGAGTCTGCTCGGGCCGTTCTCCTTCGTGATGTCGAACCTATGGACTACTACGTAGGTGGCAGCACAGCTTCTACAAATACTGCGTCAACAAATGGCAGTGATCATTTCTACGGCCCAAATAACGGTAGTAACCAGTACTACCCCCATCTAGAGACTTCAGGAGGTTTGGGTTTGGATGCTAGACTGGGTAGAGACAGTGCTGTCAACCTTGGATCAACAGTACTGTATCAGGGAGGCACAATGACGGAAAGTTTCATTCCAGATACTGCAGGTAGTATGTTTGATGGGTTGTCTAT